TATATATATATATATATATATATATATATATATATATATAATCCTATATTAATCCCTCTATATTTCACTCCCTATTCACTACTGCACAGCCTTCAACTGCAACGTTTGATCGCTACTTCTACTGCTCGCTGTTCTGTTGTCCATTTACAATAATATTGAACACTACTGAAAACGTATTACGAAAAGGAGAGAATTCTTGATGCTCGATTATAAACAAGTTTTATTCGTTCGTCTCCTTTAGCCAGCCAGAGGGAGTTCTCCATCATATGAACTGCCCTACTCTGAAGGCTTTCTTTTAATCAGCACCGCCTCTGTCTGTACTCAATGAAAATTATACCACCACCATATAACATAATAAGCATATATACATTTCAACTTCCGTCTGCAAGAGGCCATCGCCTACAAACAGATCGGCTGCGCGTAGTTGTTGAGAGAAGTAGCTAGCTAGAGAAAGCAGTTACTACTACTCCCTGTTTCATATATGTAACACCCTCCCCTCCTCTTCCTTTGTTTTGTTCTGTTAAGCTGTTCGTTTAGTCTACCTCCTCCATCTTGGATGCCTCATCAGCTGCGCCCTCAACTTCCTCAAGAGGAGGCAGGTCGTCTTCCTTAGCCTCTTCATCATCATCAATAGACAGACCCAACTTAATCATGCGGTGGATACGAGCAGCAAACTGAGTGGGTTCCTCCAAGCTGAATCCTGATGTAAGGAGTGCTGTATCGTAGAGGAGCCAGATAAGATCCTTAACAGTCTTATCAGACTTGTCTACTGCTGCCTTGTTCTTGATCTCAACCATGATGCTGTGGTGTCCGTTCACCTCCATTGTCTTCTTGCTGACCATGTAGCTCGTCATGCTGTTATCTCTGAGAGCCTGTGCCTTCATAATACGCTCCATGTTCGCTGACCAACCGAATTCGGTTGTAACAAGGACGCAAGGAGAATCAGTAATTCTGTTAGAGAGGACAACCTTGTCTACTTTATCATGAAGTACTTCCTTGATCAGCTTAAGAAGGGGCTCGAACTCTGCCTTCAACTCCTCGAACTTCTTCTTTTCCTCCTCTGTCTCATCAATTTCAAGACCCTCCTTTGTGCAGCAACGCAGCTTGTGGTTGTCGAACTCCTTCAGCTGTTGTACTGCATATTCATCAATGGGGTCTGTCATGTACAGCACTTCGTATCCCTTCTTTGTAAGCTTCTCCAGGAAAGGAGAGTTCGCCACTGTCTGGCGAGATTCTCCAGTAATGTAGTAGATGTCCTTCTGACCCTCCTTCATGCGATCAACGTACTCCTTGAACGAGACCATATCTTCTCCAGATTTGCTGCTGTGGAAGCGCAGCAACTCTGCGATCTGCATCAGCAACAGCAAACAGAACAGCAGCACCCCCATCACCATTCAGAAGCAATAAACACTGCATTCACTCTCAACTCCTAAGTGGCAGCATACAAAAAAGTAACGAACGAAATTGACTCCAGAACAACGTATGAACTAGTTCTTCAGTACTATGGGTTTTTGGGTTTTCCTCCGCACAAGCACCGCACCTTTGTGCGGTTCTAGGCGTGGTGCATGTACCCAATCATCATATTAAACGAACATATTCACGAAAAGAAAACAGAACACCTGTGTATAATAGAGCACCCTTTCATTTTTTCGTGGATATTCCCAGCAACATGCAATGATCCAAATAAACCTTATAGGCATAGAGAAGGTATATTAAACTATATATATATACAACATATACGGGGTAAAAGGAAAGATAATATTTAAAGATGCTAAATGTCTTTATCGCGGATAACGCAACCGTGTCCCAGCATGGCGGCTGAACAGCCGTTGTGCCTTACGACGCACACATAGATAAATATATATACATATATATAGGTGCATATATGTATATATACAAATATATGTGTGTGTGCATCACGTAAATTGCATGATACATGAAGGCAGGAACGGTCTTAAGGTCCGCGTCTCGCCACTAAACCAAAGAACATGGTTTATATGAACGAGCTGCAGTTTATCAAGGTGTCTGGCCCTTACGAAAATATACAAACGTTCATACGCAAGGGAATTTGCCTTGAAACAAACTATAATACAGTACACGGAGCAGATTAGTAGAACACTCCGCAAGTAACAAACAACTGCTACACAAATGATGTATGGAAAAGTAAAAAGAAATGCTAAACCAAGAATGAGTGTATTGTGGGAACATGAACAAATAAAAGTTACAGTGCATGTACTCATACCGAAAAGCGTTCAGATGCTGATACAAGTGCGATATTTGTACGTACATATATATAATACGCATGTACATATGTACAAATATATATATATATATATGTTGTATCTCACCTTTGCACGGTTGGCGCTGTCTTCATGGATACCGAGCTTGAGGTTCTTGGAGAACTGTTCGTAGAACTTGGTGTAATTTTCCTTCTTTTCTTCGATTTCAGCGAACATTTCGAGGCACTTCTTGACCAAGTTCTTGCGAATAACCTTAAGGATTTTGTTTTGCTGAAGGCTTTCTCTGGAGATGTTGAGAGGCAGATCCTCAGAGTCTACAACACCCTTAACGAAGTTCAACCATTCAGGAATGATATCTTCACAATCATCCATGATGAACACACGGCGTACATACAGCTTGATGTTATTGCGTTTCTTGCGAGTCTCGAAGAGATCGAAGGGGGCGCGCTTGGGCACGAAGAGGAGAGCCTTGAACTCGAGCTGACCCTCAACACTGAAGTGCTTCACAGCCAAATGCTCTTCCCAATCATTTGAAAGAGACTTATAGAAGGACGCATATTCTTCTTCTGTCACCTCCTCTGGCTTGCGCATCCACAGAGGCTTCTGCTTGTTCAGCTGCTCCCACTCTCTGGTGACTTCCTTGACCTTCTTTGTCTTCTTTGTCTTTTCCTTCTTTTCCTCCTCTCCCTCCTTCTTCTCCTCTCCTTCCTCTGCCTTCTCACCCTCCTTCTCCTCAGCCTTCTCGTCAGCCTTCTTCTCTTCTTCTTCGCTCTCCGTCACCTCGCGCTCGTGGGTCTTCTCCACAGCGAGCTCAATGGGGAAGGAGATGAACTCAGAGTGCTTCTTTACCAAATCCTTCAGACGTCTCTCCTCAAGATACTCTCCCTGATCTTCCTTAAGGTGCAAGATGATGCGAGTACCGCGGCCTAGGGGCTCGTACTTGTCATCCTTCTGCACAGTGAAAGAACCTCCAGCAGCAGACTCCCACACATACTGCTCGTCATCGTTGTGCTTTGAAACAACCGTCACGCTGTCGGCAACGAGATAAGCGGAGTAGAAACCAACACCGAACTGCCCAATCATTGATATATCTCCTCCAGCTTGTAGTGCCTCCATGAACGCCTTTGTTCCTGAACGAGCAATGGTACCCAGGTTGTTCACCAACTCTGCCTTTGTCATACCAATACCGCTATCTTCAATTGTCAGAGTGTTGTTTGCCTTATCAGGAATCAAACGAATGAACAGCTCAGGCTTTGTCTTCAGCTTCTCAGGGTCAGTTATCGCCTCATAGCGAATCTTGTCCAACGCGTCAGACGCGTTAGAGATAAGTTCTCTCAAGAAGATCTCCTTGTTGCTGTAGAACGTGTTGATGATTAAACCTGAAAGAAGGAAGAAAAAAACAAGACCCTCACACAAGTTCGCCTACATGTCAGAGACGCAAGAAAGCAAGCCCTGCCCCCAGGTACACCAAAACTAGGGTAAGTACAATTCAGTAATTAAAAGGTAACCGATAATATAAATATCGCGTTGAACAAAGCGATGCAGCTAAAGGAAAGAATCTCTCCACCGCACGTGGGGGACATAATCTTCGCTGTGGCCAGAAGCCTCAAGATACTTCAGCGAGATGAACAGCTTCTAAAGGCAAATACCCAAAAGACCAGAAAGCATGTTTCGAAAGCTTACTCATCAACTGCTGAATATCAGCATTGAAGGCGAAGGTCTCCTTGTTCTCCATTTTCGTGACACGGAAGTAGAGAGTTCCTGCGGGGAAACCGAAGTGACGTGGATGAGGTTAGGGATTGCAAATACAGCTTCTGGGGCCTGCGCCACGAGGAGCCGTTAACAAGTAAAACGCGCGTTGAAAATGCACAAAAGTGATGCAAGTCAAAGACACATACATCAACCGTGCGGTGGGGTGCTGCACCTGTTGGGGTGTACATGGACATCATGGGCTCAGCAGCCAGCACCCTTGCACAGACAGCCCCACCCCAACGGAAACCCGTCCGTTGTTGAAGTTGTGAGGAACTTAATGCATACTTATTCAAATCAAAATGATATACAGTTGCTTTCAGATTTTTTACAGTCAGAAAGGCATATTGGGAAGCCCAAACGGTTTCTGCTTCTGCAATGAAGCGCACGCAGCACACGCATGAAACAGATATGATGCCGTCGCTGAAAGCCGCGGCATCACTGACATTTTAGTGGTAAATGGGTAGGCGTGTTCATTTAGTTTCATCGTGGGTGGAAATGTATTATTTAGTAATCCTTGAATTGCTTCCGTTGTTTCCTCCCTCCCCTTCTTAGCCAAGCTGTTCCGTCGTGTGTCGATGTTGTTTGGTGCTGGTGAGGTTGGATTGTGTTGGAGGTGCTTTTGTTAGTTGATTCACCTGCATTTTATAGCAGAAGACGCCGCAGCCCGTTTTTTTATTTCATAGGAGGCTCATCCTCAACTGGTGTTTGTCTAGCCTAGCCTTGTCTATCGCAGCATGGTTTGTCCAGTTTGTACATGAGCGACAGTGAACACTTGCTGGGCCTCAAAACGCAGCATGCACGCAAGCAGGGTTACAACAATCCTTGACAGTGTTATTGCAGGCATCGAAAGTGGGCCTGGTTGTGTTTACATATGAAAGCAGCCTCCAGCGTCAGTTGGAGCGAGGTGCGTTGGAACTCATCCCAGGGCGCTCCCACTCTAGGCCCTTGGAATGTTGTGCCCAAAGCAGCAGGAATTTGGAGTCAAGTTGAGCTGCTCTTTAGGGAACTCTTGTTTCAAGTATTTTGGCTTCATCACAGCGCAGCAATGTCCTCGGGTAAGATAGGGGACTCCTGTTACACTCGTAGCGTCGTATGGTTAATCATGATGTGCGAGCTATGAACGGCACACCCACAGCGGGCGGGCTTGATAAATCGCAGCGTCTATTCCCTACCGTGCTTTCATAGCGCACAGAACTTTGAGGAACTCCCTCAAAGTTCTTCAGCGCCTTAACGCCGTATGCCCCTCGTGAATCACGGGCATTCATCAGGATCTGCCTTCTTGCCGGGGAGTTACGGACGGTTAGCAGCTAGAGTATATTTACACCAGCTCACGAGCTGTCTTCAAATCCAGTTGAAAATGCCTTGAGAACTCCAATCATTGTTGAGCCATGCCTTTGCAGTCCGTCCACATATGTGGCACCGCTGTGCGGGGGCAGTGGAGAAGATTTTTGCATCTCTGGAGTTGCTGCTTTGTCTCTACAATGCAGACGAAGTGATACAGTTCTCCTTGGCATCTTCACTACTAGAAGCGGATGCATGACAACGGTGGTGATATCTAATTAAGGGCACCACTACTCCACAACGCATCTGGAACTTGGAAGTCATCTTAAGTGCGCTGCGATCTAGTTTTGTTCGTAGGTGGGCAAGGAAACAGGATACGGACGAACTGAGAGAACTTTACGATGGGAAAACGTCGATAGAGCTGTACGTCGAGATATTTGATCCATTGGTGGGCCTAAATGAAATGGTGGGTTCCAAACTCATACATCATTTATTCACTGGAGAGAACGCGAGGCAATCAGTAACTGGCTGGCGCACGGATCAGGAGCAATGGGTTAAGACGATTGACAAAGGAGCCACGATGGAATATTTACCCATCAAGGACGGAAAAGCGCCACTTCAACCGCCTTGTCTAAGAAACGAGGAAGCGGATTTGGAAATCGGCCGAATATTGTGCCGTTGCTTATTTGGGCTGTAAATTCCAGTCCCGACAGAAGGTAAAAAGCGGTAATGGACGGCAGCCAAGGAATGCATCTCCCATGAAGGTAGGGGATATTGCCGATGGGACGCATCTGCATTGCAATAAGCAATGCATTGCAGCAGACGTATGGAAAGAGCTAAGGACCCGGAAAACCAAGGCTTTGAGCAGCGCTTCCAGAGGAACAAATAACGGCCAAAGCGACCAAGGGAATAGCGTAGCTCCTATGCAACATGCGGCGCAGTAATGGTGTTGAAGAAGATTACAGTCGCATCCGCAGATCCTCCCTGAATTAACTCTGTGCTCACCCACGTTCGTTTTGATGTTTTGGGATAGCTAACCGTAATTGACACAGGCTGATAAGTGGACCTGATATCTGAGGCTACGGCGTAGCGGTGCTTTAGTGCGCAGCCCTACAATGGTGTAGAGGAACAATCGACTGAGGCTGCGGATATCAAGTAGAGGCTGCTATTAAGTATATAGAAATGATGTTGGCATGAAAATCATCTGTAGATAACCCGATAGCGGAGAAGGCCCGGAATGCAAGGTTGCAGGGCGCAGGTCCCTGGGGATAGCGTAATGGGTGGCACCCCGGCCTTTCGCACTCCAGGAGCCAGATGGCGAGCTCCTTGGAGCGAGAACGAAACATACACAAGTATTATTTCGCCTTTTTAGGGGTTTATTTGATTCACGCTTACACCCTCTGTTCTGCTGCCGCTGTTATTTTTCCTTCCTCACTTCATTAGGCGCATCCCGGCATACGAGGGCATGTACTGCCTGTGGGGGAAAGGGAGGCCAGATGTAGCATGGCCTGCGTGAAGTTGGTACGTCCATCGGCACTAGTGTGCACGCTGCCTAGTTGTATTACCTACAGGGCTTGCGCATGCAACAAATGAGGCTTGATTGGTCCTGCAGTTCGGGGTTGACTTGTCGCACTAGTTGCAGCGAGGTGTTGCAGCTCAGGCGAGGCCGGCTCCTCTCCTGCAGCCCACGGCCTTTGTGCCACCGCCTCCAGGACCCCTGGGGCCAAGGGATGCCAGTCGCCATTTACCTTTTTCCATTCGAGCCAAAAGGCTTAACGCAGAAGTCTTAAGGGGCTCCTACGATAAGTTTGTTCGGCTAAATTGCAGCACAGGGCGGTCCTCTGATAAGAATACGGATTCTCGTTACAGTGTATACTTTCCTGCGGACGAAGTCGGGGTGTGCCTGTACGAAGGATAATTGCTTGTGTCAAGACCAGAATACCTCAAGAGTATATACATTATGTCGAGTACGTATGCAAAGTATGCCTTAAAATGATATACTTTCTCCTAGCTTGGCACTAACTAGACTGTCTTACTTACAGCAGCAGCTGCGGACTCTGGTCAGAGGCTGTCAGCGGTTGACTGCTTCGCCTGCGGTTAATAAAGAAACCGAGAGATTGAAAAATAAACAGTTATTTAATGACTGAGCTTTTTTTTACAGTATAACCTCTTTTGGATTGTAATGCATTCATCCCACCCCACTCACTTCCTCCCACCTGGCGTGGGGTCCGCTTGATTTCTGAGTTTCTAAGGTATTACAACCGAAATATTATTTTCTAACACAGAATCACTTCATTTAAAAAATATGTTTACAATAGAAATCATATATGAATGAGGCTTCTGCATCCGTGTCGATCACGCTTAATAAAATGACCTTATGGCTGAACAGCTGTCTGGCTGCGTTCTGTATGCAGTCATGAAGTAGGCTGCTGTTAGAGTGAACATCTTTGAGCTGCAAATAAAAATTCATGTTCGCAGGGCTGCAGCCAGGTGGATGGCTAGGGAGGAAAAGAGGGAAACACAGCGTGGCGCTCGTTCCCTCTACGGCTCCCCCACCTATAAAATGATTAGACTGTATCTAATAAACAATAACACCCTTTGCCTGCGTGTTCATCTGGAGTGCTGTGCAGCGAAGGTGGACATCAATCAAACATACAGTGTGGCGCAGGACCTTATACAAACCAGCCCGAGGCTGGTTAGCAAGGAGTGCACCTCCTAACAAACGCTGCAATGCATATATATGTATATATATGTAGTCTCTTTGCATACGCGGAGGTAATTGGAATATATACATACACATATATGAATACAGACGATGCAAAAACAAAGACAGTTACAAAGTAAAAGTTCAATTTGAAGAATGCCCATCGCCCGGACGATGAAACTTCGAGAAGTGATGAAATATCGCAGTTGATTTACTCCAGTAAAGGGCGCTTCATTTGCATCAATTTCCCTACCTAAAACCCCGAAGCATCTGCTCCTGCTGCAAAGTGTAGTGCAGTAGAGTAAGCTGCGCACTACCGCAGCTACACGCCCTGCCCAGCCCAGATCTAAATATGCGGTAAAGTAGCGACGAGCAATTCTAGTAACGCTCCTAAGTCCTTCCTCCTCAAGAATAAGCAAAATAAGTTGCATGTGCCTTTAAGAACAAGCGATACGAGTTGGATGTGAGTTGCATGTGGCATTCATCTTCTCATAAATGTTGAGGGCGTGTTGCATTGGTTTTTCCGGGGGAACTTCCCGCAAGCTGCCTACAGCTCATTATGTGGTTGAAGATACAAGACGAAGCAGATTAGGGGTGTTAAAATGGAGAAAATATAAACTCTCGACCTCACACGAAAGCTGCACTCGTCTGAATGTGCATCTCAGTGAACCCGACTCAGGTATATCTGTGCGTTTCCCTGCCTTTTTTCAGGCAGCAGATTCGCTACAGATTGTGGCATGAGGCTGCCGTTATCTGCCTGGTCTCTTTCTGAATAGTCTCCTCTAAGCAAATAACCAAAACCTTACATTTCCAGCGCAGCTCTCGTATAGGCATCTCTCCACCCTGAAGTAGCTGTCTGTCCTCCCGTCGTTTGTAATGAGGATGCGAAGTCTTACTGCTGTGTTGATTCAGCAGCCTTCGGTAGTTGATCTGCAATAATACACCACTCTGCGTCTTCTTCTGTCTCGCACTCCTCATCCTCAGCAGCGCATCCACCCGCTAAAGAAGCATCGTCCTCAGCCTCGCCGTTGCTTCTCTCTCCAGAAAACAAAAACGCCTCAGGAGGGGGGCTTCCTGGAAAGCCCGCTGGGAACTCCTCCATTTCATAGCACGAGGGCTCAGAGTCTGAAGGCGCACAGACTCTGGGCTCTGCTGGGTCATTCGTTGCTGGCACCAACATGTTCACTGCATTTCTCTGTCTCGGTCGACGCCTACGTAGCCACCCGTTTACATCTTCTAGCTCAACGCCTTCCCTTGCTGGAGTGGTGCTGCTGATTAATGCTGCATCGCCGTCATCTCCGTCAGAACTGTTGACTGCTGTCTCCTCGTTGTTAGCAACGAAGGCGTTGAACAGTTTCCTCACTAACTTCCCAGAAGAAACACGGGCTTGTCCATGAAGGCCTCCGTCCTGAGAGGTTCTCTGCGTGCCAGCAAATTCGCTGTCTGTCTCGTCGGACTCTTTCTGTTGGTCTGATTCTGCTTCGCTACTACAAGGGGCATAGGCGCAGCGAGAAAAGCGTCTGCATGCACCAGGAGATAGTAGTAAACTGCTGCTGCTGCTTCCCTTATGATAATGAGGATGGCGATGAACTTCTTCATCATCTTCCTCGCTGTCGTACATCATGGTATCGTATGCAGTAAAACCCGGCGGGGTGTCTTCATCAGAGCTGTCTACTGGGGTGTTCTCTCTCTTTGGAGACTTGGGTCTAAATCTTCCGTTAATCTCTTCCTGTTTCATCAGAAACAACTCGGCAAAAGTCTGATCGCTCTTGCAACCAAAACTCCATGGAAAAAAGGAAAACGAAGGCAGCGAGCCCCCCTCGTCTTCTTCTGCCTCTGACTGCTGTCGAACCCCTGGCCACCATTGTCTGCTGATGAGTCTTTTGAACCGATGCCCGAAACGCAGGTAGAGTAAAATGAGAACAACTTCAACCGCCAGCGCCCAAACAGCGGCCTCGAGAAGTAAGGAAGGCAGCTCCTGCCAGACCCCCGTCTTCCAATTACTGTGTGCAGTAGCCACCCACCAATCAATGAGAAAGAACCTCAACAAATCCGTCAAGGCGTTCACAAAGGATATGAAACCGCTGAAAGAGGAGGAGAAGAGGCGGGCGGCTGCTTGCACGCCCGTTATAACTAAAGAGAAGGGCGCACGAAATAGCTGCTCAAGGAAGGCCGCCCGATTGAACACCAGTCTGCCAACTGCACTTTCGGTGAAATCCTTTCCAACGATCACGCAGCTGATGGCTGTGAAAAATATCACCAAAAGAGCGCCAGAGAGGGAGAAGGCGAGAGCCCCCAACAACACGGCACTTAAGCCCCTCACTGTACGCAGCAAGACATTTACACAGCAGGGGAGGGCCAGCCGACCTCCTCTCCTGGGATGATGTGTATATGAAGCAAAACACCAACACATCCCTCGCCTTGGTGGCCCCCACTGCCCCGCCAGACGAGCCATACGCCGCCTCGCCCACCTCTGCTCCCCTAGCCGGGAGATCTGTTGCTCTCCGAATGGGGCATTTCGATCATAGGTTAAATCGCTGCTTTCCATGATGCAACGAGGGGAAATAACAACAACAGCTGGTCCTAGTGCTGCACACCCTCTTCGTCGTCCTGGGCTGCTGCTGCTGCACTGCGGAGCCGGGGCGAAGCAGCGGCAGTCGATTCAAGCAAACCGACGGAGGCGAAGTGCACAGCATGCATCTGCTTCAATAAGAGTTGCTGAATGTGATAATTTGCAATTAATAAGTCAACAAACCACCGCTACAAACAAACAACCAGCTAGCACGCCGCTGTGCAGAACGAGGGCTGGCGGTGAGCCCAGGAAATATCGGGGGGCTTGGGAGGAAGTGTCCACTGGTCAAGATATTACGTCCTCCGTGTTGCATTATTAAATCGAATTGGAAATTCAAGATTGAATTGAAAATTGTAGAGTCTTTCACTCTATATTCAACTATTCACGAGGAGTCATGGATGAGCTAAATGCTCTTTCGGCGGCTTCCGCCCAGAAACGAGGCCAGCAGCCCATCATCACCTGCTGTTCTGCAGGCCGCACGCGTTGTCTACTGGCAGGTAAGGCCTTACATTTTGCTAACGCTTTCATAGATGAATTTGTTTAGGTTTGTAGATGCTGTTTCCTTCTGTGTTGATTCGTACACGAAGAGGTGCTGCCTCACCTCTCGCGGTTGCCTTTGCCGTTCGCTACCTGGCAGTAATGAGCAAGCCAGAGAAAAAAAATAGTTGAGAATAATTGGGTACTCCTTTGGAGTTGTCTACGTTTGAAAAGAAAGCTCTTCAAGGCGTTCCAGAGGCGCAAACACTCGTACACAAACTCGTTTCGCAACTAGCTGATGCTGTTCCCACCTAAGCAGGAGCACCAGGCCAATTGGTGCAGTGCAGAAGAGTTGAGAGGGGCTGTCTGAGAGGGAGAGGAAGGAGCAGAAACGTGGGGAGATCGCTCCGTTACTGGCCCTGACTAACCCGACACGGACAGCTAACCGAGTGTGTTCTACTACTGTTTACATACACAATTGTTAGAGTATTTATACAGTCTGAAGAATGGCTGCGATGCTTCATCTGTTGAAAATCTTGCGAAGGCAAGGGCGGGCCAGTCGGTTTGTCCGTAGACACCGGAAAACATCTGTTCCCCCAACGCATGAAAAGTAGCTAGCAGAGTAGCTACTGGGGATAAACTGCGCACAGCCAAATAATAATTTAAGATAACAACACCACCCACGTTTAAAAATGCATGCAAGCACGCATGCATGCATGCATGCATGCGTATGCACGCATGCACGAACTGAAGCGACGAGAGGAGGGAGCACCTTGGAAACACTCGGCACCATTTGGAGCCGCTGTGACAAAACAGCTGCATGCATAATTCAAATGCATAATTCTCCCTCCTCTTAGCACAATAATGCACAGGAGAAACTGTCGTGGGCAGATCCCTGTAATGGCGACGCACAGATGCCACGATTAACGCAAAATGGCCCGAACCAACAAGTATAGATGGTGCAGCTTCTTTCATTGCATCGATGCGAATCCAGCAGAACGGAGAAGCATGGAAGGGGTCTCGGTCTGTTGGGCAGATGCAGACTGCAGCACCGAAAGCGATGTCATCTTAATAATATATTCTCCATGCAACGGCGGTGTTAACGCACGACGACGCCGGATGGACTGATAGAACGAAATAATTGGCAGACATGTGATCTACAGCCTCCTGAGGCTAAGGGCGGCTTTGTGGGGGTCAGTCTATCTGTCTGTCCCGCACACCAGCACCAGCGCTCCCACCAAAAAGGGGTAGCTGGGGGAAAGGAAAGTGCGGAGATCACGCCAGACAGCCGTTGCCGATGCACGTACGCACGCAGACCTGAGCAATATGGGACTTCCGATCAACGCAAACTCAAATACATACATATCCTCTCTGCCTGGGATCGGCCAGCAGGAAAGAGAGGAAACAAACCAGACCAGGAGCAGGCAACGAGGTGAAATGAAACGAGTCTACTTTCAATAATGAATGTGCCATGTAGAGCCATTCGCAAGGCAGGCAGGCATTTGACGTTTGATAATAACCCGTGCAGAATAAATATAAATACCAACAATTAAGACTTTGGCTCCGGATCGACGGCGCGACCTGCCGGCGGCATCAGCTTCACCCCTTCAATACGAATAAACACTCTCTGAATGCCTCTGTCAAATTCAACATTGAATGAAGCGCAGATGCGCTTTTTGAACTTCTCCGTGTTTGGGGTAAATGTCCCCCCTGCATACTCCAATAGAAATGCCATTGACGCCTCAGATGTATGGAACGTTATGCAGCAATGAGATCCCCGAGGAGGAAACACTAAAACGCGTTCAATGCCGCAGATGCCCAACTCGCTCGAAAGAACCGTCTTCAACTGAAACACAAGAAAGACCGACACAAACGCAGGAACAAATATACACACAAACACGCAGTTGCACCGGCAAAAATTCAAAAGACAAGCCAGACACTGCCAAAGTTGCGCCTTCCCTGCTGTGCATACGCCTATTGCAAATGAAATGCATATTCCAAAGATTTACTGCGCGAGAAGCAAACCACCGAAAGTCAACCGAAACAAAATGCATCAACTGCTTGCACACGAATAAAGCTGAAGCCAGTCGATCTTAATCGCCGAATTACATCACACGCTACCAAAAGCACGAAGACTGCATGCAGTACATCATGCGATGGCTACTCACCTTTTCCTCTGCTTCTTCTTTGTCGGTGTGTTCTTGGGCTCGGGCCGCTCGGGGAATCCATGAGACGAAAACTGCGCGTTCAAAAGCATCGGGAGGGATGCCTTGAGATGCAGCAGGGAGGGTAAGGATGCCTTTGTTGGGGAGGTGGCTGATACTTAGGAGGTCATCACGTCTGTCTTGCATGCATTTCTGTTCGTACTGCTGCAGCTGAAGAACCCCTTGTAGCTGAAGAGAAGCAGCAGCGGCCGGACCGACAGCAGCCGCAGCCGCAGCTGTCATGCCGTTTCCGGGTAGCAGCTGAGACGCTTCAGGGTCTAAAGGTGATGACAATGCATTTGTTTGTCTCGACTTCTTCTTTTTGCGACTTCGCCGCTGCCGCTGCCCCGGGTTCTGCAAAAATGCAGTCCAAGAGGCAGCTCCGGAAATAATCTGCTGCGAACTCCTTGCCGCTGTGTCTGTCAGTAATCCCGTCGCGAGCTGCGCCACAGCTGCTTGGACGCAATCTGCACTTGTAGGGATTTCGCCACAAGAGGGGAAGGGATGGGGCCCCCTGTTCTTTCCCTGCAGAGGAGGGGGCACTACTCTGTCCGAGTGTTTCAAGCCTATGGCTGCGGAGTTAAGCACCAGAGACGATAGACTGTTTAAAGGTGGTGGGGTTGTTCTCTTCGCTGCAGCGCGAGGGTCTGCTGCCCCCAGCTCCTGCAGCGACCCCACATGTATTGCATTTCTCCCTGTTGCGTGTAGACGTAAGGGGCCCTCGGGCCCCTTGGGGACTGCCAAAGGTAAATCTCCATCGTACAACAACGACTGGCCTCCGACAACCTGAGGAGTTGGAGGCGCAGCAGCAGCGGCTGCTGCAGCAGCAGCTGCTGCTGCTCCTTCCGATGCGTGAATCGCCACAAACATCTCGGACTCGATCAAAAAGTACAGCCGACGAGCCACCACAAGCCAGGGCCGCGCGTCTACTGCAGTATTCTTCCTGCTTCCCTCAACTGCAGCGTCTGATGCAGCAGGCTGCTGCTCCTCCGTGAGGGGTTTAGGAAGGAGAGTAAGGAAGTGCGCGAAGCGGCCCATTTTGGGGGCCTGTGGGGCCCCCCTTGCTGGTGTTTCTCTGGCCGTTTCTGTAGAGACCTGCGCGTCGCAGGAGGAAACGGCACCTCCTGGTGATACCAATGTGCCTCTGAGGGCACAAGACAATCTGCCAGGTCCCGCTACACAGGCCTGTATGCACTCCACAGTAACTGTGAAGTCGCCCATGCAGGACTTGAGGGCTGTAAGTTGCCTTAACGCATCGGCGTGGCCTGCGCCTTGATCAAAGACGGGGTGCTGCTCAAGAGGTCGGCCCCCCACCAGCTGCGGGTCGAGCCACTGCTTCCGCGTACACCATGGAGAATGCATCGTGAAGACAACATCCGACAGCGGCAGCTGCAGTGTAGGCAAGCCCAGACTACTAGATGATGAAGTAGAGGATGAAGAAGAACCAGAAGAAGAAACAGACGAGGCGTACAACGGAGGAACCTGCCACGTCGGACTTGTGTTGAATACAGCGTCGTACATAATACTCACAAAGGACCGCACCTCTTCCTGCAGCTTGTTCATTGATAAAGAAGTGCCAGCCACCTGCAACACATCAGCCCCCCCTGTGTCATCCTCTAAAGACGCCGGAACCACTTCTTCGCGCTGTCCGCTCCCTTCTGCGCCGAAGCTTACGGAAGGCGCCGAGGCTGCTGAGTCCACAGGAGAAGGTAGATCAAAGGAAGAAGGCTGATGGCTTCTTGCTTTCCTGCCGCTCGTTGTTGTCTTCTCACGCACAGCTTGCGTGGGGGGGGATAATGTCGCCGACCTTCGCTTTGTTAAGTCCTCATGGGGGGAAGGTGGCGTATGCGCACAACAGAGCCCTGCTGGCAAGGAGGAAGCAGCAGTAGCAGCAGCTCCAGGTCCAGCTCCCCCCCCCACTCCTATGGTAGCAGAACGATCGCTATAGTCCTGAATAAGCAGCTCCTGCTCCGCATCAGGCCGCGCCTCGAGGCAAGGAGGGGCGAAAGGCAGGCCTACAAACTCGTAGCCGGGGGGGGCCTTCAAATCAACGACTGCTGAGGACGTCTTGCGCATGCGCTCCGGCCCCTGTCCCTCGACAAGAAAACGAACAAAACCTGCCTGTACACCCGACGCGCCGAGACAAGAAACACCACCCGCACTCGGCAGATCGTAGGCTATGCTCAGGGGCTGCTGGAGGGCCGGGCTGGCGGCCACGTGGCAGGCGAGAGGGCGGCTGTTGGGAGCGGCGGTAAAGGAGGAGGCAGCATCATCGTCATCATCTTCTCCTGGTGCTGCCGCTGCTGCTGCCGCTGCTGCTGCGCGCGAAACACTCGTCGTCGCCCCTGGGGTACACCTGAAGTCGCGATGATGCTGCTGGCGTGCACTGGAAGAGTACGTGTTGCAGTGCAGAGAAGGGAAACCGGTTGTCGTTGTAACTGCAGTGTTTGTAGCAGCAGCAGCAGCAGCTGTCGCCGTTGCTGCACAAGACACGGCCCCCGCTGGTCCCCACGTTCCCTCGAGACCAGTCCCGCTGCCGCCAGCTGCTGCTGCTGCTGCTGCTGCAGGCCCCTGCAGCTGCGCGCCGCCGCCTCTTGCTGCCGCGGAGGGCCCGCCCCAGTGCAGCGCAGCAGCAGCAGCCGGCGGCGCGGCCGGCTGCGGCAGCAGACAAATGGGACTTCTGCCTGCTGCACTGCTCCGGCTGCTGCTGTTTGACAGCTGCGTCGTGAGACGCAGGGCCAGGGAGTCAGCGGTAGCAACAGGAGCCGCACAAGACCCCTGGCTGTCGCGAAGCATCGTAGTGCGGAAGGGGCCGCCAAACGAAGAGCTCGCCGTACACCCCGGCTGCTGCGGGTGCAGGTAGCCGTCCATTGCACGTCCTAGGGAGGGGAGCTGCTGCTGCACAGCTGCTGCTGCTGCTGCGGCTCCAGACGCCGAAGAAGGATATAAAAATACTGGATCTCAAAAAGAAGAAAACTCGCGAACTCGCTCAGAGCAGGCTGCTTCAACAGTCTTTGCACACACTTCCATGCACAATAACATCCACCTGGAGCGCTAATAATAGTACTCAGATTATTCTGCTTTGTGTTTTATGCTTGTGTTTGTGTGTGTGTGTGTGTGTTTGTGTGTGTGTGTGTGTGTATGTGTGTGTGTGTGTGTATGTGCTATACACATAAGCCGCCCCTCCAGCAACCAGCAACAACAGCCCCTCAGGTAGGCGTTGTTGAGGGGGGGACGCGCCGTCTGCCAAAAAGAGTTCGGATAAAACACAGGATCTGTCGAGGGTACACCCACGCCATCCACCATGACCCGAAGTGAATGGTGAACAAACAAACACAGCTCAATGAAATGAACTGCGAGTCAACTGCATGCAGCAGAACCGGCCTCGTCGTGTCTCGACGAGCAAGAAAAGGCGCTGCTTCAATGGTTGCTCCCTCGCTCAAGTAAGACCCAATGCAATAAACTGCGGCAGCTGCTGGAAAGGATCCTATTGTTGTTCACCCTCCCTGTTGGCTGCGGTGTACATACACCCCAGTCGACAGCTCCAGAACGGGGAACCACACGGGGTGATGTCGGGACTCCGAGATGGCGACGTCCCTCCAGCTACTGCTCCTTTATATCATAGAGAACGTTCTATCTCTTCGAGGAAAGCAGCGGAAGGCAGGAAGCGCCTGCCTCTGCAATTTGCGTTAATACGTATGTGAACTACGCACGAGTCTGTTTGACAAGACGAAGGTGATGTTGAAAGAAACCGTTTATGCTGCTCAACCCGAACAGGCCTGAAGCTCCTTCTTCAAGCTGTTTCGCTTCAGCCGGAGAGGAGGGAGCGCCGAAACCAGCTTTGTTGATTTACTACCAGCACATGATACGCAAATGTGTATGACAATGAACAGGAGGGGTCAATCCGCGTGTGCGTATATGCTGAGTAAGGACTGCGGCGCGTGCGAGAGCAGCAGCCCTCAGACAGACAGCCTCCCCCCAATGCACCGACTACACTTCGTTGCCACGAAGCAATTGAACTGTATGTATTTACCCCGTGGATGGAAACCAGCTGCAGTACATACGGGTAGCCGTTGAGGCCCCACTGCCGCACGATCACTAAGCCCTATGCAACACCCGCTTCAGCAGGGCTGTTGTCCTGTGCTGCAGTCCAAAGAGCCATGTGAGCAAAACGTACACATTTCCCTTTGAGCGCCTCAGAGGCTGCCGGATTAATGTTCAAAAACTTGCCGCAGATTCCCTTTCGGAAGAAGAATCGCCGATCAAGCCGTTGATGGAGATGGCGAGAAACAGAAATGGCGGACCTTCATCGGTTCTTCGCTAAGATTCGCGCAAGAGCAGCAAATAAATCGTAAGCAATCCATTCCATCTGGTGTCGATACACTGCGGGCAAGGAAACAGATTATGGGGGATCTGACGAAATGCTCTTGGGGTTGTATTAACGCATACCCTGGGACTCTGGCACCAAAGCGCGTCCCCTCCAGGGCCCCGAACTTGGGGGGAGGCAGGGAAAAAGACACAAAGAGGTCGGAAGCCGCCGTTCGCCGAAAACAAAGAAAACCCCGCACCCCACCGGCTCACGGGATAGGGATGCCAGAGGGCGGCGTCGGCCTGTGCGCAGCTCCTGCCGTAGGCCAATCCATCGCACTTGAAAATTCAAAAATATATTCTTCACGCGCAGATGCAGAGGAAAGAAGAAGGATTTAAACACGTGCACGAAGGCCGGCAGGGGGATCGACAAATGAATGCCGCCTCCCCTAATAAGGCGGCGCTCCCGCAGCTCGCGCGCTCCAGTCTAAGCAGAGTGCGGGCCTTGTCGTGAATATCCGTTCCTTTTAAGCCTTCCCCCCGGCAATCAAAATGGAATTCCTTTTGCAAAACAGGCAAAGATCCACCAGCCACACAGAACCCTCCTCTTACCCCGTTTAAGTGCAACACTAGCGCGCACTCTGCCTGCGGCCCCGCTCGGCCAATGGGGGCTGGAGGAACCCTCTGTAGTATACGCATCACAAAAAGAGCACAAACTGGGGTATTTCTATAATTTTCTGCAAATCAATCAATTTCCACTTTCTGAACCTCCTTAAAATTCAGCACTAGCCACGCAATCATGGACCTACAGTGTTACGAACCCCCTGCAACGCCGAAGGCAGTCCCTTATCACGCATGTTTTGCAGCGGTTACCCCTAGTATAATCCATCTAGTTCTTTGATCTTGTTTTGAATACCGACTCAAATGAGAGTCCTAACTGACAAAGGAACCCAACCCTTCTCGATCAGAGAGCCGTCCTTGGCTTGGCCACAAGTAGCGGCGTTTTCCCCCGTCCATCTTTGTAAAGAAAGCCCTCCATCATAGAATAGAACCATCCTAAACTGCATTGCAGTCAAACGAATCCAGATAAGAGCTTGCACAAAAGCAGCTGATGGGCTCCTGTCCACTGTACAGCGGCCCCGCGCACCGAGACCCAGGGGCTGGTGAGGGAAGCAACCGATCCCTCCACAGTTGCAATAAAACTTGCTGCAATTCCTGCTGCACAGACTCTCCACATGAAACTGCACCCAAGAACCTTTCTGATGTGTGCACTTACAATGCTGGCAGTTGTTATTACGCAAGCGTAGGCCTCACTAGCCTACATGCAGGTAGAAATAGATGCTCCAAATTGAGACAGGCAATACTGCATCTACGCCCCACTCTCATCCAAAGACGCACATACTCATGCGCATGGAAGCCCCTCATGGGGTGAATTTACCCAAGGAGAAGGTTCCTCCCGTACGCGCTGCCGCAGCGCGTGTTCTTTCTGCTGCTCAATCGGCTTCTCGATTGAGCAATTAGAGTGTACGCACTTCCCAGTGACGAAGTGCAAGAGCTGTATTTGATGATGTAAGTAAAATAGCTTGTTTTTAGTAGATCATTCAACTGCTTTCCTATTATAGTTGCCGCTCTGTTCGTTTGTTTCTCTGTCCCTCCGCCGGCTCGTATGCTGTATGCGTTTTCCTTCCTCTCCCTACTGCTGAAGAACAGCCTTAGCAATTTGGGATGCAGAGCAAACTTTTGCTTCATCAGTGCTTTGCTAAGGGGTTTGAGGTCCGTGCGCATGCGCCACCTTGTGTTGTTTTTTTTTCGCCAGCAGCACATTGTTTTCAAGTGCGCTAGTTGGCAGTTGAACTTTGCCTTTTTGTAGAGATTCGTCTGCTTAAAACTCAATTTCTTGTTCAAGGTGCCGGGATCGCCAATATCGTAGGATCATGTTTGCGGCGGCTCCGGGAGTGAGTCTGACGCGGTGCTCTGCTGGTCGAGCGGGTGCCGGGCCAGCTAAACTCACCTTGTTATTAAATACATCGGAGAACTCTCCCTTCAATTATTCCCACTTCTCCACTCCCTCGTGTACTAAACACCCTCGGGTGTTATCTGGATAGAATCCGCGAAGCCACAGTCTCCCCAAGAACACAACGGCGGAATGCATGCTTTTTTTCGTCGTTTCTTGCAGCTCCACTGCAGCAAGTCGGACAATCACCGGTCCTTTCTTCTTGGGGCAAATACTCCACTTCTTTTACTGTGGAGGGTCCAAATAGTGTTGGGAGGGCTGATAATTGCACTCCATCGTGGCAATTCGCTGTATAGACTACAATGGTGTCCACTGGGTTCTGCAAAATGCGACCTCTCATCAACGTCGTCCCTGGCATATGTCGTGGGAGCTAGCATTATCCCGTGGTGACCTAGTCCAAAGTGGAAGTCCTGGATTATGCTAACATGACCCAGTCCTGTTCGATGCCCACTTCGCACACCCATACGCTTACCGATTCTCCTGTCGTGTCGCCCATTGACAAGGCAATTTCGCCAAGATTGCGCCAACGAATAGATAGGTAGGCTGCTGCTCCTCCCCGTAGCTTCAGAAGTCAGGTTTACTGGGCGTCCTGTCTCAACAAGAGATCGCAACTCCTAGCCATTAGTATATTTTTCGGTCATTCACAGAGTTGACTCGAGGTGGATCTGCATGTGCGGCTGTCACTTCTCCCAGCCCCATCATTGCATCGCATGCGGCGTGGCGGATAGGTCGTTTCCGTCATATCTCTGGTAGATCTACTGGTGGCACTACTCAAATGCGTGCTTCTCCATTTCTTTCCTTTCCTTCATGCTCCTGAAGTGACGTACTGAGTGGCCTTGTTTGTTGCAAACAGGCACACACGCCAGTGAATACGTCTCCCTTGCTTTTTGCGTGCTAGATTCGCAGGCTTCCATTTTCTCTCGGTTTCTATGTTATTTATTTCTGGCGCATCTAGCATTTATAGCCCAAACATTTATATTTTCCTTGTATGGGCCGCTTCCGGGCCTGTTTTCGTCCTTCCAAGTTTGAGCTGTGAATAGGTGTTCAGTGCTAGATTGAAAAACGGTGAACACTTTTGTATACATCCCTGCAACAGCCGGATGAGATTATGATTTCATCTAGAATAGAAGAACACGTCGACAAGCGCGTACGAAACGGCAACCACGTTCAAATCAACCAGAGCCGGGCTGATGCTGAGGAACCACACGAAGAATTCGCACTGTCGAATTCGGTGTCACACTGAAGAGTGTGAAACTGAATTCGACAATACGCATTCTTCGCGTAGGGGTTGCTGGACGAGAGTGCTGGCACAGCCTTTTAGCCCTTTTCATGCTCCAACAAAATGTTACGCGTTTCGGAAAGTAATATGGAGGACCGGGAAGAAAACGTAGCTTTAGCATTCTGAAAAAAAGCTTCAGCTTGTGACCTTGGGCACTGACTCGCGCTTTTGGATGGGACGATTCTTCAGCGTCGTCCCTGTGTATTTGCTTACAAGAAAACGCCATTGGGCAATATCCTCTCCCATTTCCTACCTGAATGAATACTTCACCTCCATCTCTAGAGCACAAGTTGTTTGCACGTTTTATGATGCAGTATTTCTTCTAAGATCGAAAGGCGACGTTAACAGAGGCTGAGTGTAGCGGGGCGCTGTCGCATGGAAGGGTGAGCACTCGATATCACCCAAACCACACGAAACGAATCCCGATAAACGTCCCCAAGCAGTTTTTTATGTGCTCTATATGATGCAAAACGTTATATTGGGTGATCTTCCGGGGAGGAGCGAGCAACAAAGCCTGGACGGTGGAACCCGGCAATACAACCCGACCTATTCCGACTGGGGTGGTTGTTCAGCGTAGCGCATGAAGAGCCCAAAATGGCAATTATAACGCCACAGAAACAACCCGCATTCATATTGTGACGGTATTATCATTCGTTTTAAATTACGCAGCTGAAATGTGTTTTTTGCCGAACAATGGTGTACCAATCCTCAAAATGGTCGCTCCGAATGGGAGCGCCTCTCGCCGATTGTGTGAGGGGAAGAGAGGCAAAAAAGCATAAATAATTCCCAATATGTTCTCTTGAATTTGCCTATTTTGCATGGTGCCAAAGAAGTGTTTCGTTTGGTTAAGTTTCGCCTGGTCCGTATACACTCGGCTGAACAGACCACAATCAGTCGCTCGTGGCTTGTCGAGCCTCGCAGATGCCCCACCGTCACCAAGCGCCTGTACCACTGCTTTCGTGCATGTTCTGATCGTCCTATATTTTATAGTTGTAAGTTTGTTTACGGACTTCAAGGCGCTCTACAGCGACAAACACAAAGGTGAGACCTGTGCCCGCAACTCGCTGGGCGCGGCGGCCCGTTCAAACTGCATCGATGATGTGCAAGCTGTTCTAGTGAGCGCTTCCCAGACTTTCTGACGTTTATTCAACAAGTTTTCCTTGTATGACGACCATTTTTCTAATCATGTGTGGCGGAAGGGCTGTCCAATGGTGTACGAGTTACCTTCGCCATGCGTAGAGTGCGTTCAAGGCTCTGCAGCGTGTGTTCTCATCTGAGGTGTTCATTAAGAGTTGTGCTTTATTTGACTTTATTGACGTGTGTGAATGCCTTGCTAAAGCCCTCCAAATATTACGACGCCATAGCTTCCAGCCGAGGAGCAGCACAACAGAGGGTGCGACGACCCGCCGCTTGTGGCGCGGAGCAATCGTTTTCTTCGTATTGTTTCTCCGCAATATCCACTCTCTTGAGGAAACTAGTAGACGGAGTGTTCTTAGTGGCGTCTTGTTGTTTTGCTGCAGCCCAGAAGCCCACCGATTTGGTGCTTTTCTCTCAACTACCTTCTTCCCCTGGGCCTTTTTTCCTGTAGAGATAGTTGACTCCCCTTGTATTCCCCTGCGCCACCAACTGAGTCAGGAAGATGGGCCGCGCAGAGAAAGGATGCCCTATTTGCTATCACAAGTTACCTCGCCCTGGAGAGGTGTTAGAGCCTTACGATGAGGAGCTCAACTACTTCATGTGGATTCCGGGGTTCGAGTGGAAGCCAAAGCCCGTTGCTGAGGAAGATGCGTACGAGACAGAAAGCTCGGAAGGTGAGTCCACGGTAATACCTAATGCGTAGCTAGCTACCCTCTTCTTCCTGGGTGGAGTAAGCCTCACCCGTACACGATGGTTCCATTAGTTCCATTACGTATACGCCAGTCAACGGCGTCGCAGTGCAGTTATTGACAAGGAAGCAGCGGATATAGACCAACTTACGTGCTATGGTTTTAACAGTCGGGCAGCAAGTAGAGGGCCACTCTGTACTTACCACGGCAAGCTGGTGGTGGGGCTGTCCTTGCGCAGGCGAGGCGGACGAAGACATGGAGGAGGCGTTGAAGGAGATGGTGGAGAACGACGAAATGAAGGAAAAGTACAATGAGCGCGCCTCAGGCGGGAAGGTTTCTACTACTGACGCTGCTGTCTTAGCCAGGCAGCTCGGCCTTGCCCCCTCCTACGCAGATGTAGAGAAGTTTGAACAGGAGAATGGAAGCCAGCTTGATTACTCTACCTTCCAACAGTTTGCAGCTCAGAGCACTCATCCAGAGGACAACATTGAAGATCTTGTCGGCGCATTCGCCCACTTCGACCCTAATGTAAGCTTTTGAATGCACATCGTGCCGTGCATGCATTCATAGTTTTTAATGCACTTCCTTTTACCTAACATAGTCTTGCGTGTCGGTGCTGCTGTTATACAGGGAACTGGCACATTGTCTGTGCAGCAGATGCGCAATATCTTGATGACTTTCGGCGAACCTCTCACCAAGGAGGAGATGAGCGTTGTCGAATCGTGAGTTGATTTGCTCGTTTACTGCTGATGCCAGCGCTTTTAATAAGCAGCAATAGTACATCGTTGAAGTGTGTTAAATTTTCCTGATACATACAGTGCATCAGTTTGTTAGGGCCGGCAGTCATACAGGCTTCTTCCTTGCACTGGTGTTTCTGGGTCTTGTGCCACAGGAAGTTCTTCACCGGCCCTACAGTTGACTACAGAGAATTCTGCACGCGGTAAAGTTGATTGCTTCGGAATGCGCAGCCCGTTCAGCTCACATATCCGTCACTTCAAGGCCGTTAGCTTGAAATCGAGGGTCTTTCCCCAATAGTAGTTAGAGCTAACCTGTTGTCAGTTTGTTGCTGTCTTTGTTATTGCCTCAGGGTACTAGCTCGCAACTGAGGGCACAAGCGCTTCCAGGTAAAAGATACAAGAAGGAGGAATCTAAGGAGGAGTAGCAAATATCCGGCTGTTTTTTCAGTTGCTGCTTTCTCTGTCAATGTTTCGTATACAATATGTATTATGATTGCGCACAGCGAACAAAGGCAAACAAGCGTATACACACATGTGTATTTAATTACACACATCGTGGATGACGAGCAGTGCAGAAGTGCAACGCTGTACTTTGTCAGCCACCGATAAGCTGAGGCCCAATGCATTAGCAGAGAAGAGGCCCGGGCGTCTGCAGCACGGGCGACTTAATCACTTCACGGTATATTAGATGGGTTTGCGCGGCACAGCAGACTTTTTATTGGAGTAGAAAGTGCTACCTTACGAGGCAAGCCTCTCGCTGGCCACCTGCCGGGTCGCAATGTCAGTTTCGCCTTTTCTTGTACATTCAGTGCAAGGTCAGCAATGTTGCGCATTCCGCTGCCATATGGTGTAGCTTTTGCAATAAAAAACAAGAACTCTATTACGAGCTACATCATTCTTCCTCATAATATAAGCAGCTTGACCCACCAATGACAGGCGCTTTATGAAGGGCTGTCGTTGAGGGTAGACTGCGGTGTACGCAGTAGTATAGTAGTAGTATTCGTTCCAGTAGTTGTTGGTAGTTGGTAGTAGTGGTAAAGCAGTTGACGCCGTATGCTTTACATGAGCTGCTTCCTACGCCGCCCAATTGGGAGGACCTGAGGCTCGCCAGGCAGATTCAGTGACAGCAGCGAGGCTGCTGCTAACGGCCAGACGCCATAGTGGGTATTGCTCATCTGGGCCCAGGTTCAGCTGCACTCGCATGCGTGCACAGTGCATGCGCTGTTGTAGATGGCACTCATAGGGCAGCAACAGCAGGTGCGCAGCAAGCAGGTGTGGGAGGCGCAAAGAAGCAGTTTGGTGTGCACCTGCTTACAGCAGAGGGAGGAGAGATAGTTTTAGTTTCTACATACATGTACCTGCGCACAGCAGAGGGAATAAAGATGCTTTTCGTTCATAGTGGGGGCGGGATACACACAGTTGCATCATTTTGACATGCAAAAGTCGTCCCCAGAGTCGAAGGCCGACGCTCAATGAGGGTACGTAAAATGCATACGTGCGTGCAGATGTCTATATGCACCTATCTAGATGCAAGCAACGATGTGCCATACGTCTGCAAAAGACTTGCATAAGAATGCAGGAAGTCTCCACATGAGACTCGTGAGTCGACTTTTGTGCATTCAAAGCCAGCAGGGCTGATTCCAGAATCATTCCAGAACGGAGGTGGCGTTCTTTGTGTGTTTCACAAGAAGGGCTCTCTGCGTCCTTTTTGCACGGCCCTGGTGCATGCAGGCCATGCACCGACCTGCTGAAGTTAGATAACTCAGTGCCGCGCATATATGCACGCGCAACGATATGGTATTCTGCTGACTCCGCATGTATGTATGTGTATATGTATATATATATGTATATGTATATGTGTGTGTGTATGTATGTATGTATATATGTATGTATGCATGTATGTATGTATGCATGCATCTTATGCATATATGTAATGTATGTATGTTATGCATGTATGTTATGTAATGTATGTATGTTATGTATGTATGTTATGTATGTATGTTATGTATGTTAATATGTATGTATGCATGTATGTACGTATGCATCTACGTATGCATGCATGCGTGCTTGTTCACTGTGCCTGTGCTGGCGGCAGTGAGACGAGCAGCTCCTGTGCTGTGTGCTGCTGTCAACCTGGCGAAGCAGGCCGCCCTTCAATCTGCAGCGACGACAGCAGAGCGCGACTGAAGGAAACCGCGGCCTCCCATAAGCGCTGCTGCATGCAGCACCACCCACAAGCTGGAGAGTTGGATTTCTCCATCTAGGAAGCATTCCCTGCTGAGTTCCGTCCAGAAGAAGAAATCGCGCCAGTAGAAATACGGCGGAGACTGCTGCTGCGCAGCGCCCTCTTCGCCTTGCGCATATATCGAACCACCCGATGCTGCCTGCTGCTGCTCTGCAGCAAACAGCTCTACTGCGTTCTGCTTGGCAACAGAGGCGCTGCTGGACGCCTCAGCTTCCCTCTGACTCCCCCCCTCCTGCAAGGGGAATCCCTTAAATTCGCTGTGCCCTACCCCGTATAATTGAGCTGTACGGCCCATGGAGGGCACTGCTGTGTTGTCTGCAGTGAAGCTCTTGAGAGCTGCGACTGTCACTTTGCTCTGCTGGAAACGCCCGTGAATCTGCACAGTGAGGTTGAGGGCGAAGAAGACACAGAAGGACGCGATCGCCACGAGAAGATACTTCACCTTAATTTGCAACTCCACTTCGTCAGCTGTGCGCGCACAAGAGCTGCACCCACCCCTATATCCCTCTGCGTGCGCAGCAGCTGGAGTGCGGCTCCGCCTCGTCGATAAGGAGGAGTTATGCGTCTTACGGCCCTCCACTGCCGGAGGGGACGGGGCCTTCCGGCCCTTGACTACAGAGGATGGCGTGTATGAGACGAGCAATGAGAGAATACCCATTACTGCTAAAGCCAGCCAGCCGCAGCAGCATGACATCCCCAGCTCCCGCTTAACAGCTACAGGAAGATGCAGCTGCGGAGAGAGAAGGTGATGGTGCTGTCCTCCAGGCATCGGAGTGCTGTGGTTCTGGAGGACCTTGTCTATAAGATTTGCCGGCTGCCACACATGCTGCAACGAAGTAATGCCAATCACAACGACATCTAAGAGCAACAACCCGTACACCAAGAGCATTCGCCGATCAAAGCGTACCCTTCCTTGCGAGACCGGGAGCTGCACAGAGGGAACGGTAGCCTGCTGCTCCTGCTGCTGCGGCGGCGGCGCCTTTGACAAAGATGGGGATGCCATGGGTCCGCATGCATACACAGCGGGGAAGAGGTGGGTCGCAACACTGCTGTCGCCACGCTTGCACCTCTCCTGCTAATGCCAAATGATTTCAGTTGTACCGGCACACCGAACCTGTGGAGCAGCTCAATTTTGCCTTCAGTGCCACCCGTCGCCCGCCCGTTTACTCGCCCCCCTTACAAGCTGTACAAAACGAGAAAAAAAGACCTAAGCAGCCGTGAGGTTCTATGGCAGATTGTCTGCTGAAGCAAACCACGAGTACAAACAGACGCGCCGAGAGGGCGCTGCGCCTCACAGGGGGAAGGCTGCTGCACATTCACGAATATCTAGACTGCTTTGCACCAGATGAAGAGCTAATGCCTGCAGGCGGTGAGTTTCGTTATTGAGAAAGAGAAGAAATCCAATTTCGTGAGGCGCCGCAGCTGGGTGAACTGGTAAGCGGACGGGGGGGCCCAGTCCCTTCTGTTTGTAGGCTTGTCTGTACAATGCTTCATTTAAAAATAGGAGGAACCCGCCAAGCTTTATTAAATACACACAAAAGGGGTCTGTGTATTCTGGGAAGGGCTAACAAGGCTTCTTCACAACGGAGGAGGGTGCTTCCAACCCCTTGGGCGAGCAGGGGAGGGCGGGAGGCCCGTGCAGAAGTGTGCATAGCTGCTGGTCTTCAAAAAGCTTGTTGTAAGTACAAAATCAGTTGTTGCGGTCAAACTATTTGAAAAACTCCTACTGGCCATCAGTTTCTGCATTCTTCTTTCGCGGTGGCGGTTCGGCGCCGAGGCGCGAACTCCATCACCCACTGTTCTAAGCAGCCCCAGCATTCCTCACGGAAACGGCTGGTTTTACCAATGAGTCAAAAAAACACAATTAATGTGAATTCCGGTTTGTAGGCAGCGAGGCTCTCGTGCCACAGCCGGGCAGTTCCCCAGTCAGCATGTCTGTTGCGGCGACACCGAAACTCGACGTGTTCATTTCCGCAGATTTCCCAATGAAATGAGGCGGCTTTGATAAGTGGCTGTTTTTGCTACAGCTTGCTATTCACTGCTTGTTTGTGCTTCCGGCATTGTCTGTCTCTGCAGGGGCTCACCGCACCCAGCAGGTTGCTGCCGCCTGTGCAGTTGGGAACGGTTTGGCACAAGGGAATCAGCTGTGGAGGGTCTTTGTTCCCGGTGTTGAGCTGTTCAGTGCAGAGCCGTTCTAGTGGCTTCTGCACCGGCAGCATGCGCATCTCCACGAACGCGTGCGGGAGAGAGGATGGACGGGAGCTCTGGATGGCCACCCGTTCAGACTGGTGGTCATTGGCTCGGGGCAAATGGGCACGGAAATTGAGCTGACTGATGCGCAGCATCTGGCGGAGACGTATGTTGCCTGGCTGAGTATATCGAACGCGCAGCTTCACCGGGGTCGCAAGTTTTCGGGAGTTTGGGTGCAGAAAGGAGTCCTACAGGGAAAACCGAAACGCTGCTGAAAATCTACAGAAGCGTTTATCTTTCACTTTCCTAGACCCTAAGGTGGCAAATACGGAGCACGCGTCGACAGCTCCAGAGGCCGCTCGGATCTCTACCTTCTCCCAAGGGAGCGCCAGCGAGAACTGGCGGGTAAGAAGGGCCTCTTGGCTCTCATAGATTCCGCTACTCGAACTACAGGGGTACTGCGAAGAAAAGTTTCTCTAATTCCATCATGAAGATCGCAACCGCCACGCGTAACCCCAGCAGAGTCACTGGTGCGCATTTTATGCCTCCTCTGGCGGAGACGTCGTTGGTAGAGGCTATCACCGGGTTCGAGACGGACGAACAAACGGAAATGCGTGCTGAAAAACTCGCAGTCCAACAGCTCATTCACTAGAAAGGTCGAGTTTCGTCGCTAACCGCCATCTTTACCTTGGCTCAACAAGGCGGTGTGTGCAAAGCAGATTAACGGGGTGTTGGGATGTTAAGACAGCTTACCGTGCGCCCTTCTTAAGTATATTCTTCATAGTATGTAGCTTTTTCTTCCGTCTTGGAGCATAAGCAAAATGAAGACAACACCACTTATCCCATGCCTTCTCGTTCTCTACGCTGTGGATGATTTGTTTAATCTCAGTTGAACTGTTGCAAGTGATAAATAACACCGCAGATACCACACGTCGAATGCGACATGCAGACCTTTCTCAAACATGCCTTTCGTGACTTCTGTCCGGTTCCGCGTTCTGTGCTGCTCTCGTTAGTGCTGGTGCCGTAGTGACTGTTACTACGTCGCCAGGCGAAAACAGCGCTGAGGACATCGACCGTACAATGTCTCTAGGGGTGACCATCTCGATGGGTCCTTTGGAGCTGGCTGACATTATTGGTTTGGATGCTTGTCCTGCAGCTCTTCGGGTTTTACACTCCGAGCTCGGCGACTAGTAGAATCGCCCTGCCCGACTCCTTACCCAGTACGTAGGCGCGGGTCACCTCGGCCAATTTAGGGCTGCTGATTCCGTGAATACCCCAACATGCAGAAATTGACGACGGCGCTGGATATCGTCCTTCTTCGTACAGTTTTTCCAATAAAAAGTACTCTGAGACAACGAAAAGACGAAACAGCCAGACAGCTGCGTCGTGCGAGAGGACACCTCGGGTCTCGCTTGTACTTGAGCATATACACAAATTCACAGCGCACATTTTCTTAAGCGCTCTGAATTATTTTATGGTGTTCGAGAGATCACCACACACAACCCCACGACGGTGCACGCACCCATAAGTTTTATGCAATATATGGATAAATAGCACAGCGTGGTGAGATCTGATGCCTACCTCACTGAGCGGAAGGTGGTGAGGAGCGAACTCAGGCACTGGATGGTACCCTGGTCCCGTGCATGTGCTTACAGAAAGACTGGCGTATGCCTGAACTAATCTTGTCATGAACACTACACACAACCAACCACTGTATTCTTGTAACGCTTCGTGCAAGCAACGGCACATGAGCTTCGGACGTTTCGTGAGATAGATAGAAGCGTCCTGGCCTTATCTCGCAACTCACAAGCACACCATGGCGGCGGGTGCTGTAGGTTGCTCTGTTCAGCCTTTCTAGCGCTGGGGCCTTCAGCTTTATTACCGAGTAACGCGGTATTTGTGTTGTGCGGTACTCCTCTAGCATACGGGTGTGTCCTCCGTTTTCATCCGTTTTCCACGCATACGCATATACATATACATGCGTATAAACATATTGCATGACCTTTACAAATAAATTTAACACTGGCACAGGACTTGCTTCCTACGGCGAGACCTATATAATGGGTCCCTTTTGCGCTGCAGCAGTCCTCAAACGACAGACCCCTTCACAGATGAAGCCAGACCAACAACATTCCTTTATCTTTTAGCACAAAAATGGGGTTTTAGAGACAAAGCAGCCGAGAGCCGCCGACAATATCAGGCTTGACGGTGACTCGGGGGGTGCGAACTCAAAATAAAATAATTCACCCATCTGGGACCTCCCACCAATTAGAACACCATTGATGCGTTAGCTCAAATAAAAAATATCCTTACACTCATCAGTTTAGGCGGCATTCTTGGTCCCTCTTATGCGAAAGAGCGCTGGGGCACTCGACGAGGGCCCCACAAGGGGGGCCATGCGAGAATTTCATGTCTGCTTAAGGGGAGAAATTTGAGTACATCGATGATTCATTTTTGTCTAATTGCATTGCTATTTATTTATGTCATTGCGTGAAGAACCTGCATATTCACAGCGCTAACCGTCGATACACCTGGCGAATCGAACCGGGAAGACGAGAAATCCACGCAGGATGCCAGGTGATGAACCCTTTGAAGACAATGCAGCGCGGGGAGCAGATGAGCACCACAGCGGCAAGGAGTCTGTAGGGGAGACAGCGGAAGACGAACAAATTTCTCGCCACGCATTCCACTCCACGTGGGAAGAAATATATCAACGGGAGCTTCACAATGCAGCTGCAAGGAAGGCGTACCAAACCACAGTTCAGTATAAACGAAGTACTGTCAAAAGTCAAGCAGGCTGCAGGAGCACTAGGAGGAATTGCAGCAGCAGATGTAACAGTAGCAGCAGGAGCAGAAGCAGCAGCATGAGCAGAAGCGGCGGGAACAGCGACCGTTCCAGTGATAGCTCCTCAATAGATGGGGAGGAGTGGTTTGCCCCGGAGTGTGGCAAGATACTAAGCTGGGTATTAAACACTTTAAGAAGGCCTCAGAACCATCCCTTGCAGCTTTATTTCCGTCGAGCACATGCACTCCGCAACGCGGAGTCTCCAGGGACTGGTGAATGCAGGGGAGGCGCATGCGACTGGTGCAGGGGAGAAGGGCCTCTGATATCCCAGGAGTTCACAGAGATTCCAGTCTTGGACGTGGGGTGTGGGGGCGGTCAGTTCTTGGCGCGTCTCCGGCGTTGCGGCTTGAAACGGCTAGCGGGCATCGACTACTCGCAGAATGCAATTCAGCTGGCCCGTTCGAACTTGTATGGGGAGGGCAGCAGGAGCAGGAGTTGCAATGCCATTCACATCTGCCTGAGGCAGGCAGATTTGAGGCATCTGAGGGCAGGCCAAACAGGGGGAAAGCTGAAGAATGCCATTGACAACTGCATCTGCTGCTGCAGCAAGACACAAACCGCCCACAACGTCTCTGCGCAGCATGAGACAGCAGGAAGAGCAAATGACGAAGGCAGCTTGTCTCCGTGCTCGTGTGAACCGGCCACAAGTTTGCCACCCTTCCCCGTTGTTTTCGACAAAGGAACTTTTGACGTCTTCTGGCTTATGCGCACCCCTGAGCTGTATGTACAGTGCATGCACAGGCTGATGCCCCAGTACGGTATTTTGTTTCTAACTTCCTGCAACTGCACCGTGGATGATCTGGATTCCCTGTTTTGTGAGAAAACGGACGCATATCAAGAGCAGCAGCAGCAGCAACAGCAGGCGCCCACAACAAAGCCCCAGCGGGAGAACCAAATGCCCGCTGGGGCTGCCCATCCTGCTGTAGCTGGAGCATCAGGTGCATTAGCATTTACGAAGTGCAGAGTGTCAGGCCCCGAGGACTTGTTAGGGGGAACGGACGAAAGATACAACAGGACCAGCACAAATCATGGAATGCCTTTCTTCGAGCGGCTTGGCCTACTACCTCATCGTTCGTTCAAATTTGGAGGAGTGGAAGGTCAGGTGGTGACCTCGGTATTGCTTAGAAGGCTCTGAAGAATTACTGCATACTTCACCTAATGTCGCTGCATAGGTTAGATTGCCGGTTAAGGGTTTTGTGCATTCTCTCCCCGTTGAGGTAGGATTCACAGCGCCTCCTTGCGGCTTGGTCCGACAGCCCTTGGCTTCACCTCGTCTGGGTTCCGCAACTCCAGTGCTGGCGTTGACCACTCCGCCCTATATATTTGCCTTGCGGAGACTTTTTTTACCAGTTTGGCGCTTAAATGCAATGACGCTTCTGTGAAACCGCTGAGGAAAGGGCCAGGAGCAGCCCTAGACAGCCTTAGACTTTCGAAGCTTTAGACTGTCGAACCGCCTAGTTCTTAGTCGAGCGCTTCACGAGGCCTGTGGAGACGGCTGGGTCTCTCTCGGCTTGTTTGCTGCTCCAGCTGATTCGCCGTACAATCAAAGTTAGGTTCTCGTTGTAATGCCTACTGACGTGATTTTTGTACCTCTGGATAGGTGGGCTCCAGTAGTGCGGTGTCCGAGGGTTGATATAGGGGGAACGAGGATTTCAAGGCCACATTATTCTCTGCGGAGGGGTTTCTTTCTCTCCAGCTTCAAACTGTTTCCCTTTTTCAAAAACATGAAAGAGAAGACAAGGGGAGGTAGTAATTTCCTGTATGCGCTGTTTTTTATATTTCTTCGTATGATGCAGGTGAGACCACGGGCAGGACGGTTAGATGCATACCGAACACTGTAGGTCTTGATTTGTGGGGTGGTAAAGGTATATGGACGCTGAGAAACTGCTTTGCTAACGCAGGGCGCAGCGCACTGTTAGAGACGTGCAGCAGACTGTGGTGCCTGCAGTTTACTTTCTAGGGGCGCAAAGTCCAGGCCTCCTATTTCCTCCCAAGCTGGAAGAATCAATAGTGTCTAAATGAGATACTTTCTCAGAAAACTGACCCTAGACTATGCGCGGCTGCATGGGAACGCGTGCGAGCGGTGTTCGTCTGCGGCAGACCTGCGGGTTACCAGAGTGGCCTGATGCGATCTCCAGTGCTAGTTTCGAGCACCGCCTCAGGCTATTTCTTTTCAGTGCCGTCGGTAGAATACTGTTTTACTTTTCCACCCGTTTAGTTTCCGTTCTTTTCCGGGGGGAAGCTACTCCATCATTTGCCCCCATTAGCACCAGGCGAAGCCGCACTTTTGGAACACACCAACCTGCGCTTAGCGACTTGGCACCTCCGATCCACGCATTTAGAACCACACAGTCCCTCTCAAGTTATTTTGTTTTGAAACATGGGGTAGGTTTGGTTTAACTAAACGCTTTTGCAGTACTTCATCAGCTCTTCGCTCCATTGCACCGTTGGCGTCGACCACTGGCCGCACGGCGGAACGGACCACAGTCGCGTATGGAAGTAACACCACCAGCAAAACGCGTTTCAGCACATTTTCATTAAGCTTAAAGGCTCTTGGATACATATTAGCTATTTCTAGTCCCGATAGCTTTTGGCTTCACCTTCTCTGGGGTCCGTAGCTCCAACGCTGGCGGTGACCACGCCGCCCGGTATATTTGCATGGCGAAGACTTTCTTCCTAGCAGTTTAACACTTACATGCAACGACGTTTCTGTGAAATCTCTGAGGAAACGGCGACTAGCAGCCCTAGACATTCGAGCCGCCTTCACGAAGCGTGTGAGGACGGCTGAGTCTTCCCGTAATTGGAAACCAGGGATGTTCCGGCATCTCCACAACCCATTCTGATATACCGTTAGAAATATTTCCTTTTTAGTTTGAAGGGGCCTCGGTAAGACAGCATTCAGAGGCGGTGCCAAGCTTGCTCGCGCACGACCAAACCGTCACACAAAGTATCCCAGAGGTGAGCAAGTATCCTAGAAGACTTCGCAGCATCTAAATGCATGGATTACTGCTACAACATGAAATTTTGCCTCTTCCTATGCAGGCTCCCTGCTTGTAATCGCGGGCTACAGCATCCTGAAAGTTAAGCAGCAACCGGCGTCAAGATCATCTAAGGCACCCATCGAAACCGTCACATTTTAGGGAAAAATGCCAAGAGGACCCTTCCCCCTGTCAGATGAGCCCCTGCTGTGCAGACACCCTTCGTTCTTGAAGGGTTCCGCCGACACTAGCACGGAAAGGCAGCCTGCTTCCATTACCCCGGTGTACCGCGAGCCATGTGGCATGATACAGCAGCTGGATGGGAGAGATATCCGCGCTGATTCACCGTATTGCAATCGCTTCCCTGCACTCCCCATTGGTATCGGTGGTTGCGACAAGTTGCCAGGACACAGCACGAGTCAGGGTATGCCAAAAATCACACCAAGCTTCCGTAGCACCAATGAACTGGAAACAGGCTTGCCCCGCCTCAGTCGCCCCCAGAGCAACGAGACACAACAGCCTTCCCCACGCATGGTAGCTTCGATATGCAGAAACAGCATTCCAGTAGCTGTTCCGTGGACGCCATCCAACAATTTGACTTCCCCTGCGCATTCACTGACAATGCAGCCCCCTGAGAACAAGCTGCCCAATTCACCCGTCTTTGTTCATTCGGGTTGCAGTAAGCTGCTCCCTGCCGTGCTTACTGAAAAGGTGCAGACAGAGGTGGCGGATGCGTCTCATGGACCCCAAAAGAAAAAAAAATTGGGGCTGGGCGATAAGCCACCAGTTGGCCTGCAGACTTCTTGCGCTTTTACGTACGGCTCAAAGGAAATGAACGCAGTGACGGCTACGCGTGCTGGGGAACTTGTACCAGACAAGGGGCTGAAGGCGATCGGGGCTATGTGCGCACGACCTGGCATTGCCGTGCCACGAGGAACGCGGACTCGACCGAGCGCATCACATCAGGGAGAGCATGTGGCAGCTAAAATGTATTTTCACCCCAGCAAATTGGCATGGCGATCAGAACTGCTGGTAGATGGCTGCAAAAGACAACGATCATTTTCCTGCAAGGTGCATCTCGCTTCTTAACGTCAGAATTGTGCCAAAACACCAGGCTCCATATTTGTGGCCCAAACCAACCATGACGTGTTCTGTGCTATTCTGTTTCCGCCCCTTCGCACTACTTTGAATGAATTGTATGAATATGTTCTTATTATAAACAGCATGTTACTGGAGCAGGATCCAGTGTCTGGGAATGCAGGGTATTGTCCATTCGCAACTTGTGCGCTGTGGCTCATGCGTGCTGCCTTGTCTTTTCTGTTTCGCTTCAGCTCTACGGGTTTGATCGCGCGAGGATGATGTGTGAGTGGTCACGGAACTTCGTGTTGCGCACAGCCCGACTGCCAACAGAAGAGGAAACACGGGAAGCCATCGGGCTACTGATGGGCTCCCAGCTCCAACCCAGCAACACTGACGAAGCCTTCCCTCATTATACAGGCTGGTTGTATGCATACCCCCCGTTTGAAACTGTACCACCATGTAATCTTGGGGTAGAAGGTGAGCCAGCTCCTGTTGAGACGCAGAGCTCGCCCCCAGACAACCACCCACCAAGAGAACATCAAGACCAGTATCTTCCACTAAAGTATATTGCTGGAGTGTGTATCGATCCACAGCAGCGGCCCCAGCCAGCAGCAGCGGCTTCACTTCAAGTTCAGTTCCAAACCATATCTGCAGCGCACGCAGGCACAGGCTCGGCAGACGCTGGAGCGCGAAGAACCGATTGCACCGCTGCCCGCCGTATAATGGTGCGGCCAATATTGCTCTTGGACTCGTCGGAAGCTACGAATTCCGCAAAGGGTGGAGCGATATCTCCCACCGCAGAACCAGCTGAAGGCCAAGTCTCTCCAAAACAGTTGCCGACGAACGATGAAGATGTATTCGCGGAGCTCGGGCTCCTACCCATGCTCAAGCCCAGGCTGAGAAAGCGGAAGCGCCGGAAAGTGGGGAAGAAACCCCACAGCGGTGTGCGGGGAATGTATATTTATCAGAATGCTTGGAAAGTGGGTTGTGTATGTCCCGAAACACAACACTTGTCTAGGCGACCGACATTAAGGTGAATTCTTCACAGTGCGCCTCTGCACCCTTTGGCTGCCCATTTTTATGACAGGTCAACTACTTCGGAAAACATGGCCCTATCACGAAATATTTCTCCTACAGCAGCGGTGTGAGATGAACTTCTTTATATCACGTGCCCCATAAGCTAATTAATGAGTAGTCGTTAAAAAAAGAAGTGGCCCTCTTGCATTCTAGTTGACAGAGCCTGTGACGATGGGTTGGGCAAGTGATTGCTTTTATAACAGGAAGCTCCTGTGTGTGGTTGTGAAGCGTGCTTGTGAGGCTGAGTTATCTGCTGTAAGTGCAGAACATCTCGGAAATGAAAAACCAACACTTGTTGGCCCGCACCTTCTTGCGCCGCGTCATAGAGAAAAATAGGCAAATTTACGACAGTGACGGCGAAGGGCTTTCCGAAGATGAGCCAGGCATGCTTCCCTTGTAGCTTTGGTTGCAGTATCATTGGAGCCAACAAGAAGCTCTAAGGGGCCCTGCACATTCCCATCATAAGTTCCTCGTTTCTTCTTGTGTTTCTTGTTTTCTTCAGTGTGGGCAGATAGAGTGGAAAAATTAAGCAAACTTGCTCAAGGCTCGGCAGCCAAGCTACTGGACTCCTACAATCCTTGTTGCAGGGAACCTGTTTTCAGTCCTTCCCAAGAGGAACCGACTGCGACAGCGCAATCATCTTCACTGCTCTCTAGTGTCATGCACAACCACTGGGAAGGCAAAGCCACGGAAAACCCCCCTAAGCTACAGGAAGGCATGCAGCATGCTAACCGTATATCCGACTCAAACGGCCACCAAGTGCATACTGTTACGCATGCGACTCTGATCCTCAAACCCAATGGTCCTTTTCTACAGGCCCCACAGCCGGGTTTGCCTAAGTCACGACTAGAGGATTTCATGAGATGTCGCGAAGCGTCTCTGTGTTCGATACCTTCACGTGAAGCACAGCCAAACCAATTAAAAGCACAACGGCCCTGGCCAGAGCAGATTGGTGAAGAGGGGGGTCTTTCAACTCACAAGGGCCCCTCTCCTTTGCAAAGTAAGGAACAGGACCAACGAGGAATTTTTTCTACTTCTGAAGGCAGAGAACTCGGAAACCCTTTCAGGAGAGCATTACTGGAGGTTCTGCCTAAAATGGCTGCCTGTGGAGACACATGCTTGAATGGACCTCCAAAGGAGTGCACACAGCATCCAGATTTCTCATCGTCGCCGCCTGCAAGTAGTACAGGCCTTTCCCCATGTCAATCGGAGCGTGCCGTAGATCTCAGAATAAACCCGCCTAACTCGGCGCTTGTATTCTCGGGGGACAACCCAGAATACAATGGATGCATGCAAAGTTGCGCACAGTATCGCCTAGGTTCTTTGCTTTGTGACACAGCAGACAAGGAACGGTTCACGCGCATGAACCAGGCTCACCCAAGCAGCAGCAGACCTTCCGGGCTGTCGTGCGACAGCAGCCACGTTTGGTCAAGCTGCTGCCAAAGCCCCTTCCCCTGCATGTGCTTAGTTCAACCTCTTTAGGAGCTTGCTATTCGAGTCGCACATGGGTACTTGCTCAGGCGCCAGTGCAGGCCGGTGAGGAAAATGATTTCCTAAACGGCTTGTCAGTCCCCAGATCCACAGCATAGTTCGAATGCTGCGCTCCATAGAAATTGCACTTATGCACAAACGACTGAGCCCAGCAAATTTTTCCTGCGGCGACTCAACTGGCCGGAGGTCCGTGATGCCTAAAACAGGAAAGCAAACGGGGACTTTTTGCTATACCTAGGCTCCCGTTAGAGGTGTGGTTCTTGTTGACCAATTAGTTGGCGCTAATGTTTTCTTGACTCATTCCCACAACTCATACCACCCACAGGATTCCCTTTTGTTTCTATTTTGCATGCGAGCAGAGGACAATCTAAATTCCATGGGCAGTTGCGTGCAGTACAAGTGTTCCCGCAGCGTTATCTAGCATCTACGCTGATTTTGCACGGAGAGATGCGTCGTGTTTGCGTACCATTTAGAAAGGTAATTCCAGAGGTATCGTCATGTGCAGCACTGGTCCGGCCAAATTGCATATCTGCCGTTGCTGCTTTGCGGAAGGGCCCCTCTGAACATGGGAAACGCTGGGCTATATGTGAACTCTCCAATCAACGGGAATGATTTGCAGGTATCCGTCCTTCGACGTAGCACTAATCAAGGGTGATAGAGGTCAACCCAATGCTACACGCGGTGCGGATGCGACAGGTGGGAGGCCTTCGGTACAACGAAGGCCCGAGCTCTTAGGAATAACTTCAAAGTTTATAATGAGGGCATATCGCCATCCTATGCATTCGGAATGCGCCTTCGCCTTTAGCCTTTTTCAAGAACAGAAAAGCGCCCTACAAAAGTAACGGAAAACGAGGTCCACAAATGTTACACCTGCTGCGTAGGAACGCGCTGCGTACGCTCCTTCGTCTTATCGCAACAGCCCTCTTGAATCGTCCAAATGGTATTCAGCGCATCACTGCACAGAAAACATACCTAACGAGGCCCGAATTTCGTGAAGACGGAGCGGCCAAATTAAGTCGGTCCCTGCTCCCCCACATACATGACTTTTCCGAGCCATCTGGACGTAGATAATACCGTCACAACATGCCGTGGTATGCAGTTTCCAGTTGTTCCTTTAGCAGTGAAGGGAGGTGGATTTTCCCTTAACTATGCTAAACTGAAACGCACACACCTCCCGCGCCCCCATGCACACTAGAGCAGCTCCCGCACTGACAGGGATTGCCTTCATCCCTTAAGCGTCGAGTCATCTCTGCGTAGGCATCCTTCTTCCTCCCAGTTAACGGCACAAATAAAGAGCTAGCCACGGAGGGGGACTAAATGGTTTCAATCATCTATAGCCTGACTAACGGCCTGCACCTGCGGAAGGCCTTAGTGGATTCGTGTTGCGTGTCTCGCGTTATGTAGAGTTGCGGCTCTGTTGTTCTCCCTGTCTGTACTATGCGCCATTTGCTGCTCTTCTCAAATTTAACGCTTCTTTGTGCCCCTTCTCCCACGGTCCCTTGAGCGGCATCGCGGGTGGGCAGGGGGCGGCGGATTGCGCGCTGCCTCATTTGTTTCGTCTGTGCAATGCTCTGGGTGATTGCCTTCCCCGTAGCTGAGTGAGTTTACTAATAAATCTTGCCTCCGCATTTTCCACTTGAAGACACCATGGCGTATTCAAGTCGCGCATGCACTCGGAGGCGGCCCCACACACTAAGCCTAGGCGGAGCGGGCCTTCCAGTCTGTTACCGTCTTTGAGCTGTTGAGACCTATAACGTAATTAAAAGTTCAAAAGGACCCAAGAAACTTCTTTTCCTTGTTTGTTGGACGTCTAGGTGTGCTTCTCTACGTCGGGCAGCGGTGGGGGAGAGGTGAAGGGGGACACTGCAGGGAGGCTCGACGAGCCCCCGCTTCTACACTGTAAATCAGCTCAGCGCCTGATGCTGCTAAGTACGCATGGAGTGGTTGTTGGTTGACTGCTGGGCTGCACGAGCCTCCCTTACCTGCACACCGGCTGTATGGAGTACCTCGTCATCTAAGCAAGAACCCTGTGTTCTGTAGTTTCCTTCTGTCTTGTTGGAATGGCCTGTGTGTACAAACAGATAAGCATGCTGCAGTGGGCTCCCCTTACCCACCTCCCTACTTCGCGCGTTGGCCCCATAGAGCCACTGTATTGTGGCTTGGTGTGTGCAGCTGCGGCAGTGTAGCCTTCTGCGTCGTCTTGATATGCAACGGTTGGGGTCCTACGCTTTTTATTCAGCCTTCTGCAGTAGCAAGCAAGAATAACGTAGACGGAGAAGGACACACAGAGGACAGCAGGCAGCGGGCGGTTGTGCGAGATAGACTTCAAGACCAACAAGATGGTCCCCGGCTTTCGAGCTGTAGCCCTCGCGGCTTTCTTCAGTTTTGGGGGGGAGACAAATGCAATAATTACGCGATCAGGACCTTCCCAATGCACGTCTCTCTCCCCTGGGCACGCCTGCACGTCAGCAAGCAAAGATCAGACGCCTTCCCTTACATTCAGCCCCTTAGCCTTTGTTAGGGGGATCCGGATCCCTTCAAACAAGTTCAAGCAGGTTAGGATGGTGCATGCAAGCCTTTCTATCTCACAGTAGCCTCTGGTTTTCTACGGTTATCTTGCGGCGTTACCGCCGAGAACAGATGCAGGTTGGGGGCCCCTCCTGTGTCATGGGCTCTGCTCTGCTGTCCTGCTTCGCTGTCGCGCAACAGGTGCAGACTGTAACACTCGAAGGAGACAACTGGCACGCGTCTGCTGCCTCTCCATCCCACCGACTTCGCGTGGCATCATCAGGCGCCCAAGTAAGGAGCACAGCAGCGTAGCTAGGGGCTTTTAGCCCTGACGCGGACGCCTCAGGGCTGTTGTTGTGAGCTAGAGCTTGCTCACCTGCATGCACTTCGTGATGTTCGTCTTGTGTGCATTGATGCTTCGTGGTGAGGACAACTCGACCGTGAGCCGTTGCCTGTGGGCTTCGAACGAGGGGCACTGATACCTGAAACGCTACGCGGGAATTTAGATTAAGACAAGCGGCTGTTGGGGGTCACTTCTGGAGATGCACGGAGGTGGATTCCATTTTGTCAGCTTTCTCGCCTAGGCGTCGCTTGGGGGCTGCATGTGTGCACGGCGGTGGGCGATCTGCGCAAAAGGCGACCTGCAAACGGACACGTTTTGAATGGCCCCAAATCGAAGGCCGCTGAGGTATGTCTGCCTCTGGAGCATGCGCGTCTGAGTGCGCGCTGAGGTGTATGTGCCTCTAAAATTCACGGGGCGGGAGGCCGCGCGACCTGCATTCGCCTTCTGCGAAGCGGCAGTGCGCCTTCAGCTGCACTGGGAAAGCTACGGTGCCGCATAGTATATTCCTTCCACTTCCCAGCGCTCTTGTCACGCGCCAGGCCTCTTAAGTCTTTGCTGGTTGCGCGGAGGTGTAGAGAGGGCTCTGAACTCAGCGACCCTCTTGCGGATCCGTGCGTGTATAGCGGGGCCCGGCAGTCGCCTCAGCGCACAGCGGCCCCAGAGGATGGCGAAGAGGCGAAATAGCAACAGCAGCAACTTACCGCTGATGACACCAGCGAGAGGGCCCAGCACGGTGTGAAGGACTGCGCTTTCGGTGTTCTTTTGGTGTAGCTGGGACGAAAATGGGAGCCGGCGTCTTTGTTCTTTTGGCCGGGGCTCCTCTATTCTGAATCTGAAGCCGTTTCGTTGAGGCTAGTTTGCTCTCCCAATGCGTGCAGTGTATGCATGCAGCATGGAAGTGTGTATTTTAGCTCCGAGTCGGGCGTTGCGAGTCGCAGCTGTGAGGTCTCCGCTGGTGTGCGCTGCTGCGCCTCTGCTGTGCAGCAGCCCATGCGGAGAGAGCCTGCTGCGGCAGGCAGCGCGTCAGACCGTATAGGCATGGCGCTGGCCTCTATGAGGAAGGCCTTCAACGAGTGGGTTTCCAACGCTGGCAATCGAGGAGGCGTACCAGACGGTGCCGCGAGGGGTGATTTCAGGGGCAGAAGACTTTCCGAGCCCAAGCGGCGGGCACTGAGAGGTGGGAGCGATATGTTGGAGGGGCTGGATGCAGAGGAAGATGATGGGGAAGGCGATGATGACGAGGGAGATGAAGAGCTGGAGCCGGACTTAGACGATGATGATGATGATATTGATGATAATGAGGATGATGCGGGATATGCAGATGAGGAATATGACCCTATCGCACCCAGAGGCCCAATAGAAAACAACAATTATGGGGAGGTCTGGCTGCCCATCCAAGCTCGCCCTCGCCGCAACCGGAAGGACCACGCCACGCGCCGGCTTGTGCAAGAGAGCCTCGTGAAGCCTTCTAGCCTGATCTACCCGCTTTTCGTGCATGACGAGGTGAGCGCTCGTTCGTCTCCATAGTTTCTGGTGCCTGAAAAAAGGCATTCACACTTTTAGCAACCAAGCTTCTCACCTACAGGGCCTTCCACCTCACGGCCTCCTGATGCAATGGATGCGTGTTGCCGATTCGAAATGCTTCCTGCAGGATATCAGCGAACCGATCCTTTCTCTCCCAGGGCACCGCCGGCTGAGTCCTGCAGATGTGCTAAAGGAAGTAGATGAGGCCCGCCGCTACGGTGTGAACGCCTTTATGCTGTTCCCTAAGGTGGAAGATGACCTGAAGAGCCCCCTTGGTAGGCTGAACTGTACCTGGGAAATGGGAAAGCGGTTATGGCTGCGTCGTGCTACAGTTTGCAGCTCGGGTGGCCGGTTCCTAGCTGAGCAGGGGGTACTGTTAAGGGTAGCATTTGGGGTGTTTGCTTGGCAGGGGAGGAGAGCAGCAATCCTGATGGACTCATGCCTCGCATCATCATGGCAATCAAGGACGCCTTCCCAGATGCTTTGGTGCTAGCTGACGTTGCTCTCGACCCATACAGCACATCAGGCCATGATGGCGTCGTTGATGAAGACACGGGGACTGTGATTAATGACATGACGGTCTACCAGATATGCAAACAAGTGAGTTTCCGTGCGGTTGCCTTTTCAGGGGCGCTGGCTTGGCCCCCGCTCTCCTGTTAACAATAGCTGAGTGCTGGCTATATTTCCTTGATAGAGATGTCTTTGACAATGACCCATCGTGAAGTTCACGCATGCGGGGTTGGTATCAACCCTCCATACAAGCGAGCATGCCTGAGTGGGTATTCTGTCCTTTTCAACACGAGGCAGTTGCTTTCGGGGTTCCTGAATGAGCCTTTCTGTGTTTCTGGGGGAGACGTTGTGCCGCAGTCCGTCAACTTGGCGCGGGCGGGAGCGGACATGGTTTGCCCTAGCGAGATGATGGATGGACGGGTGACTGCAATTCGTGAGGCGTTGGACATGGAGGGCTGCGTGGACACGTCGATCTTGTCCTACGCATGCAAATACGCCTCTTCTCTATACGGGCCGTTCCGGGATGCTGTGGGCTCGAATATGAAAGGAAGCGGGGATAAGAAAACCTACCAAATGGACATCTCCAATGCCCTGGAGGCCGAGCGCGAGGCTGAGTTGGGTGCGCGTTTTCCCCTTCCTCTTGACGTTTTTGATCCGTTGCGGCTGTCTTGGTTTGGACATTGCGCAGGAAAGATACTTTGGTTTCTTGAAGTTCAGTGGCCCATTGCTTGCCCCGGTGTCGACAGGGTACCTTCTCGCTTGAAGCCGTGCGGTGTTTGCAATTTCTTTCTGCTGGGTGCAGATGTGCAGGAGGGAGCCGACATGCTCATGGTGAAGCCCGGGACGCCGTACCTTGACGTCCTGCGTCGTGTCCGCCAGAAGACCAACGTGCCCCTTGCTGCATACCAAGTGTCTGGGGAGTACGCGATGATCAAGGCGGCAGCGGAGAAGGGGTGGATTGACGAGAAGGCCACAGTTCTAGAAACCCTTAAGGGCTTTCGCAGGGCTGGTGCTGATGCGATCGCGACGTACTACGCTAAAGATGTGGCCAAATGGATGGCGGAGGACTGCAAAGGCAGCAGGAGCTTTACAGAGCCGTGCTTCTAATTGCTTTTCTCCTGTTTGCTGTCTCTGGAGCAGCCATGCGCATTCTGTATAAATTCCGTATACAGGGCGTGTATGATCGTATATTGGGGGTTTGGCAGGGGGCTGCGCATCCGTGGAGAGGGTCGTTGCCTCGCTGCCCAGATCCCAGGATGATTGCTGGCTGAAAGCGGATGGCGGACAGGCTATCAGAAGAGGCAGCCTTAGATGAGTAACAGTGGCGCAGAGTTGTGCCTTGTCGGAAGGGGGGAGCAATACCAGCTGCAGGAGGAGCTGGTAGCCGCTCTTGCGCCTTGGCATTTCGGGCTCCCTTTTGTGGAGAGGGTTTGGCAGTGGATAGGGGGGACAAGGCAACCAAAAGCAGGGGCTTGGCGGCAGCCAGTTTGAAGCACTGGGCAAACGCTTTGACAGACTTTTTGGGCTCGTCGAGCCCTGCGCCGACTTGAGCAGACTTGCATGCCTTTGAAAATTCTCGGATTATCACCTGTGCCCCTTTCCAAGCTCGGCTGTTCTTGATGTTTTTGTTGTTGGGTTTGTGTCTGTGCGTGATGCGTATTGGGAGCTGTCGCATTTGCCTTCTGCATTGCTGGGGCAACGGCCAACAGCAAGCACTATTTCTGTCGGCAGATGCAGAGCCTTTGAGCAGTAGCAGGCCTCTGCAGATTGAGGTGTAGAACACCTGGGTGTAACAAGTAGGGCGGCGGTTGTGCGAGTCTGTGCGTGCAGAAGATTAGCCTTTCATCAACCCCTACGGCCCCTGGGGGCACTCCCGCCTTTCCGCTGCCTCCGCCTGGCGGGGGTGGCAACAATTTTGGAGAGGGTGGGGGACAGCAATTGTCGAGGCCTGGTTACAGAAGCACTAGCCAGTTGCTCGCTTCCTATGCCCCTGGGGGGAAGGAGCATGCGGCTCAGTTGTCCCTTGCGGAGGTCGGAGATTCCGCCACGTCGCGGCTGCCGACTGCGCTTCTACCACGACATCCTTACCTGCAGCGGCGACTGTTGGCTTCTGGCTTAGAAGTGTTCGTCTTGCCGCATGCGCACCCAGAAGGCAGCTTAGAGGTGCACTTGGAAGTGCATGCGGGTAGCACGGCCGAGGCTGACAGTGAACGGGGCATGGCACATCTTTGTGAGCACCTCGTCTTTATGGGAAATCGAAAGCGGGGAGAGGTCGTGGCGCTGCAAGGCGAGGCCAACGCCTTCACAGACTTCCACCATACGGTGTACTTTGTGAGCTGGCGTGGTGGTGAGAGAAATGGAACGGAAGGACGAAATGCTCGAAAAGGACAGGAGCAACAACCTACAGGCCGTCAAGACTGGAGCCCGCGCAGGCTCAAGGCAGCCCTGGAAATGATGCGAGAAGTCTTCACGGTATTCCTTGCCGATCCTGTAGCCTACTTTCCGAGAGAGCACAAGTGTACTTTAGGGACAGTAATTCCTCCGGAAGGGTGCAACAGTTTGCGGGTCTATGTCTAAAGACACTTCGAGCCGGTGCTTTTCTTTTGCGCCGGCGCTCTTCAGGCCCCCACCCAGTTCACCTCGGAGAGGCTTCTCAAGGAGAAGGCCGCAATTCTCTCTGAGTCGTCTCTAGTGAACACAATTTTCTACAGAAAGGAGCAGGCCCAGCTTTCCAAGGTGCACAGTGACACCATCCTGCCCTCCCGTTTCCCCATCGGGGACATGGAACTGCTCCGCAGTTGGAGCGTTGAGGAGGTGCGCAAGTTCTTCGCTCGATTCTACCGCCCAGAAAACGCCACGCTATACATCGTTGGGGATGTGGCACCGCTTGCGGCCCTCAGATATGTAGACGACATCATCGGGCCTGTTCGGGGAGACAAAGCGGGGGAAGAGGAGTGGCGAGTAATCCGTAGCCGGTGGCTGCAGAGGACAGTAAAGAAACAGTAGGCAGCCATACACCATAGCCGCTGCTCTCTTCCGCTATTGGCCTTACAACTTCTTTTCTGTTATCCCGATGTACACAGCCTTCATTAATGTTCCCAAGCTGGCTTACCATGCTCGCTCTGCTGCCAGCTGCTTCGCGGCATCGGGTTGGGCGCTTGCCAGTACAATTGGCATTCTTGTGTTGCGTTTGGCTGCTTGTGCAGCTCGGTTTTCTTTCCTCCCTTGACTCACGCCTGGACTAGGGAAAGCGAGACTGTCGATGCCTCGGCGAATCCCGAATGGACTAACACCGGCGAAACACCGGCGCTGGGCGTATTCTTCGAGGGGACGCACTCAACTGCTGCCTCTCTTGGGAGTTTGCTGAGGCCCCGCTTGCATGTGTGGCAGCATTCGCTACTCCAGCACTTCTCGTTACTCTTCCTCCGAAAGCTCCCTCTAGCCGCCTTGCGCACGACGGGCGACTTCTTTCGCCTCCTCGCCCGCAAACTTGCCCTGCAGGCCCTCGCCATTAGATTTACAGAGCGGTGCCGTCGAGAGGATGATACATGGATGCGGGTGGAGGTCGCAGATACGGAGTCCGTCAAGGAAGGGTGCCGCATTGTCAGCGTGGAGGCCGAGGCCGAACAGAGCCGGTGGCGAGACGCTGTGCGCGTCGCCGTTGAAGAGGTGAGCCACCCGCCCTGTTCAGTTTTTTGCAACGGAAACCTTCACTCGTTAAGGTGTGTGAAGAACGCATCTCACAAAGGCGCCGGTTGTCCTGGCGGCGGAGTAGCAGTCCTGAATAGTGCTGTACAGGATATGCGTGATAGCTGTCTCCTGCCTTTGCGTCAGACACGGGAGAGATTCCTGTCTTACGAAAGGCCACGCGTTAAATTTGGTCTGGGCTGGTTTGTGGGGTGCGCAGGTGCGCCAAATGGCGGAGCACGGCTTAGGCGAAGCGGAGTTGGCAAGTTTGCTTGACTCATATAAGGTTAACCTCGATCGCATGCACATGCAGTTGCTCTCGTCAGGAGACATGATACGGCTGCTCATGGACAGCACCGCTTGCGGCCACCGCGTAGTGCACCTTGAGGATGAACGGGGTCTTGCCTTGCAGCTGACCAGTGGAAAGTTTGGGTCCCCAAACAAGCTTGCGTCGCCTCAAGCAGAGGACGCAGCAGCAGGGGACCGCACAATCGCTGCAGGCTCAGAAAATCTGAAACGGCTGCTTGCTCTAGTAAATGAAGAGGCGCGCACCATGTTGAAGTGGATGCTTACACCGATAGAGAAAGACAGAGTGTACAGCGGACCCGACGCCATTTGCGCGTTTCTTGTGCAATCCGGGGGCCCCCAAAACACCGGGGACAACTGCTTGCCACAAAGAAGGCGCTTTCCGTCAACACAGCTGCAGGGCCACATCGCAGTGGAGCAGACGGAGACAGGGACTGTCAAGGTAGAAGGTGCCAACCTCCCAGGAACCCCAGATGGAGAGCGTGCCGACGGAGACAATCAAACAATGCTTGCGATCCCGGAGGAAACCATCCTTAGGGAAGTCTGCGACGCCATGTCCCGTGCTGTCCCATCAAGAAAAGGGGGAGTTGAAGTGAGCGCTTCATAAGGAAACTTTCCTAAAAGCACGAGCGAGATGTGTATTGCCTGGCTGGTCTCGAAGATGGGACTGCGTCTTGCAGTGCCCGACACAACACTTGTCTCATTTGCCTTGGTGTACAGACCCCGAAGTACTTGTTAACGAATGAAGAGTTGGAGGCGCTACGGCGCCAAGCGGCGGGATTCTCACCAGTAACCCAGAGGCTGAGGGAAGCTGGGCCCAACGCGCAGATGCTACAGTTTGCAAATGGCGCAAAAGTTACTGTCAAGCCTTTGGCCGAGGAACGCGGGTCCGCGCTGATTCGCGTTTTGATACCTGGTCTGTCAATCTGTTCTGTTGAAAAAGACTAGACGCAAGCACAAGCCAGCTAGTGAGGAACGAAGGCTAATGCTTACTCGAAGTTTCATCTTTAGCCCTTGGGAACGACCGTATACGCATGTCCACTTATTTGCAGGAGGCCGCTTGGCCTTCATGTTGGATTCGGCGAAGGGGGTTATCGACAGCAGAGGGCTCGATAACTTGAGGGAGCAAAGCGCAGCAATAATGTTGGGGGCAATGACAATGATGGAAGGGGGCGCTGTGGGCCCTTTCACGCGGCAACAGATCGAAGCTTTTTGTCAGGAGAGGCTTATCGGTAAGTCGTCTCCATTGGTCGACCAGCCCGCGGTGCTTACGGTTAGTGCAGGCTATGTGAATGCACACATCGTATTAGCATTCCAAGGGAGCAAGGGGTTGGTGAAGCTGTGCGCCAACTTGCCTTCTTTAGCTGGGCCAACAGAGGGCGAGGGGATTCATGTGCACTGAAACCGAATTTCAGTTTTTCATGATTCAAATCCTGTGGAAGGAACAATGCCTGCTGCTGCTCTGTTATAGTTTTCCATGACGTTATATTCGAACATCGTGGTCGGTGTGGTTTCTCGTGTCAACGGTCTTCTGTGAGCCCATGCTGCTTTGTGGGTTGGATCTTCCCTGCATGCGCAGGAGTCAGCATTGAGTGCATGGACGAGTTTCTTGCCATTGACATCAGCGCGCCAGCCTTTGCGGCCCGCGACGCTGATTCAGACAAAGCAGGCAACTACGTCAGAACCTCCACGCTGGAGAGTGCGATGCAACTCCTTCACCTAATTTTCACTGCCTTCCATTTTGAAGAGTCGGCTTTTCGCCGTGCGAAACAACGCGCTCACATGGACTACCACGCATACACACGAGATCTGGTGGTGAGCTAGCATCCACAGCCTATATTCAATCTTTTTCGCGTATCCCTACTGAAAACTACACAAGGCGAGTTTTGGAGTGGCTACGTACTGAGTGCTATGAATCTCAATGTGCCAAGAAGGGCTCATCCTGTGGTAGTGCGGATATTCATAGGGCTATTCTCTGGGAGAGCTGATTTTTAACATGACGGGGGGCGACCCGCGTTTTGACTCGATGAAGCCACCGGTGACTGCAGGCTTGGAGCTGCCATTTGTGGAGCAGCAAATGCACTCCCACATCGAGCGGCAGCTGGCCCGTGGAGCGATTGAAATTTCGGTCGTAGGGGACGTTGATTCGGCGCATGTGGCGAGATTGGCGGCGAGGTACATAGGTACGATTACGCATGCAAATACGAACGGGGAAGGGCCGCTGAAGGAAATTTCCTCTGAATCACCCGCCCAATGGTCTTTACGGTCTCCCTACTACCGCCTCCAGGAGGGTTCAATGGGCGCGGAGGCGCCGGAATGGAGTACTTCGCGTGATACGGAGGAGTCACTTTCTGCCAGCCATTGGACAAAAGTATGGGGGAGGCGGCTGCATGCCTACGTGCGGGATAGCGAGGCGCGAGCTGTGGTGCATATTGGAGGGTTTGCATGTAACCGATGGGGCAGGTACCCCAACGGCTTGTGGGTATGGGACCAAATGGAAGCTCTACAGCGCAGGGATGATTCTGATGCCGAGCAGATGGAGGGTAAAATGTTCGAAGTCAAGCGGCACGGGACAGACGAGCACCGAAAACATCCGGCCTTCCCGCGAGTGGCCCTGTGGATTCTGCAGGAGCTTGTTACCAAGCGTCTTTTCTCTATTTTGAGAGAAGAACAGCGGTTAACATATGAAGCGGCCTTTGATGTGATGTCCTTTGACATTCTCTGGGGCGGTGTCTTCATCATTACAGTCCACACGCAGCCAGAGGAGGCGGAACGCGTGCTGGAGGCAACTCATCTGGCGTTGCAGCAGCTCACAAGCGTTCGACCTCTGCTACAGTCGCAGCTCGACGGCGCAAAAGAACAGGTACTCAGCCGCCACCTACACGATCGGAAGTACGCGCGCTACTGGCTCGACCTCCTAGGGGGCCTACAGTTAGCTGATGTAAGTTGGAACGTCTGCATTTTTGCAGGGGATGCATAGACTCGCGATCCACAGCGTTACCAAGGCAAGCACGTGAATGCATCGCTGTTGCTAAGTCCTACGCTTGTACTGGTTGTACAAATGCGGTTGCACATAGGCAAAATTGACGGTTTTCATTTGTGCAGGTTCCTCGTAAAACCCCCGCATACTTTTCGGAATTTGAACGGGTTGTTAAAAGCGTAACTATGCAAGATGTTCATTTGCTCCTGCGAACGCTTGGTATCCGCCGAGGAAGCGTGTGGGAAGCCATCGGAGTGTCTGGTCCCTCTCCCCCATTGGCTCTTGCTCGCCCACCTGACAGAATTGTAGATGCCCCTATCGCATCCCCTTCGAGCACGCGACTGCGCGCGTCAGAGCCTCTGCGCATTTTAAGCTAGTGTGGCTGGTCTTGCCAAGTGCTGGCATCCCCAGAAGACCTCGTGCTGTGCAGCTGGTGTAACAGCTGTCGACTGCCGCACTGTGCATCAGTATTTTTTGTTTGGAACGCATAGCTGTTGGTGGGCTGCCTGTCAGGAACTCTCAGGGCAAGGCGGGCCAGCCGTCTCATGCGGGCACAGTTTGGGAATGCTTTCGCCTTCCCAAACTGCGCCCGCACGATTTTGGAACCTCAGCGTTGACTTTTGTTTGGGTACAACTTGCGTAAATAAATATGCTGATGCTATGTGCCCGCCGTCATCCTCCCGCCAGAACCTCGCCAGCACTGCGCATTGATATGTGCACTTGCTCGAAGGGGTGTGCTAGGCTTGGATTGCTTAGTGGGAAGACCGGTTTGCTGGGCTTGTCTGTATAGAACAGCAATTATCTGCTGGCGTTCTTTCGGGCTCCGCTCAAACGGCACATTCAAAGTACGGGCGCTCCGATAAATCGCCAACCAGCTGGTTCTGCACTGCCGTAGCTCAGGTGAGCTCAGGCTAGGCCGGCCGAACACGAGGTAGGTTAGATGCTGATGCGAGATTGTGCTGCTCGCCATACAGCGTTTTTCCTCTCAGTTGTCAAATGATGGGAGGGGCATGCTCTCAAGAACTGAAGCGGAAGGCAGTGGTTTTCCGCGGTGTCTCGGTGGAATTCGAGTGGCGCCTGTCAATGCGGGGCGTGTATCCCAAGGGTAGGCAGCAGAGGGACCACCAAACAGCCCTTGCAGTCCTCCAGTTTTCCCACTAGGGTACACGCCAGGCACGGCGCTCCCCACAGCCTCCACACCGGAAGCTCCCGCTCCCTCCTTAGCTGTTGTTTGGACACGAATTAAGTATTGCAACCAAAGAATGGAAATGGGACTCTTGTCTTACGAGGAGATGGAGGTCTCGTTTGCAAGCTCCGAATGCTCCTTGGAATGACAACAGTGGCTTTCCACACAGCACCCGTATAATCTCCTGAAAAGCACCTCTACTACATCCGACATCTGTAATTGTGGTTTCTACGAGCCTTTCCTGGGAGCCTTTCAACTTCAATGGGTGGAGTTAATTTGATGCCTTCGGGAACTGCCTGACGTCGCAGACGTCAGAGTGGTATAGCACATGCCGAAGTACAGTACATGCACTGGACTTGCCTCAACAAGACGGAAGTGCCAGTCTATTGGGCTTCCGTGGATGCTGATCTGTATCTTCTGTTTCGGGAACGACTGATTGGGCCGGCACGAAGTCAGCTGACCTTCAGGACCTTGTTCGCAATCACTCTGTTACTCGAAGGTGTACGCATCATATACACGCTGATGTGTGCGAGCTGTCGCTTTACCGTGCTGAGAAGTCCTCCGCCGTCACGGTGAAATGAGCATGAGGTAAAAGTACTGTGTAGGATACAGCTGTGGGAAAATACCTCTGAAACTGCTCGTATGCCCAGGTAGGAAAGGCCAGTACTTGCCTCTTCGTGAAGAAACAACGCGTACTTCAGCCTCATGTACGGCATCATCGCCAAGCTCCAGTGGTGGAGGATAAGCTGCTGTCCGCCCAACAAGAAAAAGAATGACGCTCACGAATGCAACTAGTGCGTGCAGCCCGGCACCGTGCCGCCTCCACGGAAGCTCCATATTCAGAAAAACGAAGAGAGGATTCCAAATGATTCTACAATGTTTTAACAGCACGAAAGTAGGATTTCACATGCTGATATGCTGTAGCAGCTTGTCGAATGACCCATCTTTGCAAATGACTCCAGCTTGCCACTTCAGGTGTATCGTTCAACACGGCGGCTTTTAATCCGTCTTAATTTCCACGAACACAAACTAGCTTTCTCCACAATTTGCCTTCACAAATTTAGAAAATGTGTCCCATGCTATAGTACAGCAAGTAGCAAGTTCATCATGCGCGTCGAAAGGTTTTTGTACTCAGCAGCATGGCTGAGTGTATGGTGCGTGAGAGTAGAAGCACGCACGAGCAACGCGTCACTACTTCATGCACGTCTAAGCTCCACAGATGTTGAAATCATCTTGCCTATATCTATCCATCGAGTAAATACATAGCGTACGCTCGTGGTTAACCACACATCTTCGTCATGCGCCTTACTGCCAGCAGCAAGCACCTATCCGGAACAACGTAGCGCGAGGTTGGAAATCACAGTCTGGTGAGAGGTCTTAGTAGGCATATTGAAGTTTCAACGCCCCAGTTAGAAAGAATACGGTCTACACTGGTGTGCGCATTCATGCAGATCATCACTTTGTCAAAGCTGATGAAGGCGATTCCCGTTGAGGGCAGTTGACTCATACACAAGAAGGAACTGCATGCGGGAAGCTCAGTCGCGAGGGCCTGGGCTTGGGCTAATTGAAACACCCGGAACTCGCCTCTGGGCGGCATCTCGCGCCTCCCAACCGAAAAGATGGGATGGAATCCCCGAGTAATGCCGCCTGTGCAGTTGTGTCCTCCAGGGGCTAAAGAAGCAACATGGTCCACTGCCATGAGTTACTGACAGCTCAGTACAGTGCAATGGGCAGCTCGACCGGGAAGTAAGGAGTTGTAGGAGGGAGCTGGCCGGCAATCTGCCTCGCCAAGGCACCGCTTTGGTAGAGTTGCAATAACTCGTCGTGAGATCCCAAACAGACTCCATCCGAAAATAGGAGCGGACATCGCTTCTTCCTTCTGCGGCAGAAATGCAGGCAAGAGGTGCGCATATACAGATTGGAGACTCACCCGAAGCACTCCTTTTAAATTGAACATGCTAAAACAGAGGAACGGGCAAGCACATATACGCACATACACATCTGTACAATGCGATGCTGAAAACCCTACAAGGTAAAAACTTCAATCCTAATAGGTCCACATCAACAGCTTGATGATTCTGCAGCATCTGTAGCTCACCCATGAGTCAGCGCGAATCCCAAGACCGCTGGATGGGCCGTAACATCGACGGCCTTAAGAGGGACACTTTGGAGTTGGGTGAGTATTTTGACGATGTTCATGGACGCAAGTGATTTAGGATTGTCTATTGTACCTTCCAGAAACAACACAAGCCTGTTCTTCTTTAACACTGGCAGCAGCTGCGCGTCGACGCTTTCCCTGTCTGCGAAGTACGCAGCAATGCTGCGCTCCGACAGGCGGTGAAATACCTCATCATTCCCGCCGCCGCTTGCGCCTAGAATCTCTTTAAAGGAATTAAAGTGTCTCAAGCTGCTGCTACTCGATGGGCCCTCGGTGACACTTGCGGAGGGCCCCTGGAACCCCGTCTTCAGTGGAGGCGGCGAGGCCGCCGCAGCATGGGAGGGACTTGCTAAAGTAGCCAGGCAGAAAACTCCCGCTTTAATGCATGCCCTTGGCAATAAGAAGGGTCGAGTTAGCCTGAACAGATGTGCCATTCTCGAGGCCGACATCCAGGCGGAGCCGCGTAGAGCACAAGCTATAGCAGGTGACTGTGAAACAAGAAAATTATCTGAGTGGTTCCACTGTACAATAAAAACTTGTTTTTTGAACACAAAGGGGGAGGAAGGAACATAAAACCCCGCAGAGTTGTTTCGAGATGGGTCCTGACCTGCATGCGCGCGGGACGGAATGGCACGATTGAGGCCGCGAGAATCTCCGAAGACACCGCCAAATTTTCATTATTTTTTGTACATGATAGGCACCAGCGATTATGCAAAACTAGCAAGAACCTGTGAATCGTGCTCTTACCAATCCAGGTTTGGCCAGCACTGCACTCATTTCTTCCCTCCGAGACCATGCATGTTCTAGCTTCGGGTTGCGTCGTGGGCACTAGACCTACTAGGACATTGTTAGTGAGTTCAGCTGATTTTATGAAAAGCACTAAGTGCCGACGGAAGCTTCACAGGCTCTCCGTGTCGGCTCTCTACGCTCTGCAACAGCAGCAGCCTCCTACAGACAGCTCACCGCGAACAGCCAGCGCCACCGCCGTGCGTCCTTTCCTTGAAGCACCAGGGCACAAGAATCTGTGGGGTATTCGGAGTAGCTGCCCCCACGGGGAGCGTTTGCGTGGAATTCGGGGGTTTGCGACAAAGCGGTTGAGACTGGATGAATACGATTCTTACGAAATGACTATCGACCCCCAAAAGGTCCCCAGTGGCTTTTGTAGAGTGCCTATACATATGCAATCAGCGGGTGAACTGAAAGACACCATAATACTGGCCGGGCGCATTCGCCTGCGCAATCCTAACTTTTGGCTGCGCTGCAGTTCTGCTGTAAGGGATATGTCTGAAGGTTTCCGTGCGAGAGAGATTGTCGCGATTCTGAACGCCTATGCTAAGGCACGATACAGGGACGCCTCCTTATTTAGTCGTCTGGGGAAGCTTCTCGCCTTGCAGGCGCACGACTGCCGAGCGTCAGACCTGGCGGTCGCTCTGCAGTCCTTCGCGCGCCTCAACATTTCCAACAGTTCTCTCTTTGACATTTTGGCTGTGCAGTGTATTCGAAAGATCGACGAACTTGGTGCTCGGGGGATCGCAACTGTAGCTGCTGCCTACGGGGGAGTTAATCACCCCCACCCTCTGCTCTTTGGGGAGCTGGCGCAGCAGGTGGAGGCACAGGCTGAGACTTTTTGTAGCATAGACATCATCCAAACGCTTTGGGCGTGCGCACGTGTCTCGTACAGGCACTCGAAGATGCTACACCGCTGTGCAGACCAGATCCTGCATCAACTCGCCACGTGCACTGTCACAGAAGCGCTAACAGCGGCAGAGGCGTTCGCTGATCTCAGCTTTTTCAGAGCGGACTTGGTGGGGTCTCTCTCTACCTTTTTTAAGTACAGAATACGCAGCGTTCCTGTGCGTAGTCTTCCTTTGCTTGTGCGCACCTTCACTTCTTTCGATCGGCTCGCAAACCCGTTCGCCGACTCTGCCCAGGGGTTGCCGCGAAAGATGCAAGAAGGTAACGCAGAGCCACCAACAAACAATGCCGCTCTCTACAGAGCAGCGCTTCCTGCCATTGCTCGAGCAGCCATATGTTTTTCTTTGACAGAGTTGTCAGCGGTGGACTCGGCACTTCGTTCGGTGGGCCTAAGCCATGACCCCTTGGCACGCGCGTTGCGGCAGGAGCTGAAGCAGCGGGGCCCTCACTTGACACCCCTGAAATGCGCAGAAATCCTGCACGAGGTGGCGTCTCGAGGGGGAGATGGGAGCGACGCGGCCGCTGTTGTCGCCGTGCGGACCTTGCTGGCCTCGCCGTCCGCACTGGGGTCTCTTCCTGGAACGACAGTTGTACAGGTGCTGAAGGACCTGAAGGATTTGCATTGCCTTGGCGCCCTCGCTATCGCTGCGTCTTTCATATATGGGGACAGCTCTCCTAGCCAGGAGGAGACGCTGTTGGGAGGCGCAGAGCTGCTCGTGGTGCAGCGCGTCTTGCTGCAGTGCTTCTCTTCTGCGGGTAAAATTTTTAATTCTTTTTGGCCGTAGGGTGCAGAACACGTTCTTGCATATAGAAGCAGGAGCATTTGTTCTGGATGAGGATTATATTTTGCGTGGACTTGGATGAATGCTCGCAGAGTTGTTCATCGATGGATACCTGGAGGGTTGCCTATCACAAGGCCTGCGTTGGCCTGAGGGCACAATAGCTTCGGATTTGGAAACAGCGTCCTGCCGTGGACACTCTTGCAGAAACCATCATGGAAGTGACGCTCTATTAGAAAAGGCACGGATTCTGTATGCTTCAATATCCGCACCTGCAGACGCCGTAGGAGCCAACTCTCTGATACTGGCAATCCGTCAGTACCGTACGGACCCTGGCGTTGGCGCATGGTTAAACTTATTAATGAAGGGACGGGTCAAAGGTCAGTTAGTTTCTAAAAGAGGAATGTAAGGAGTGATAGTGGCCTGGGCCAGCTCTAGCAGGCTTGAGATGAGAGACAGGGCCAGGCTGTGATGGACTCTTGAACAGCGGAGTGTACAAAGAGGTACCTGTTGCTGTGCGTTGCACGTCCCGCAGACGCGGACCCCGAATTGTTGCCAGCCCTTCTGTTGGAGCTGGCGCAGATGCAGAAGGAACGAGCGGCTGCAGAGGAGGCAGATGATTCTGTAAGATGCGGCCTCCTGTAGTCTCTTTTGACAGACTGGATTTTGGGTGGGGGTGGTTGAGTGCGGGTAGCTGCTTATTTTTGCCAAAGAGGCCACGAAAAGGCGCAACAATGGAAGATGAACGAATAGACGACGGATTATTGTCTGCTTGAATTAGGCAATCTTGGTGTTGAGCTTGCATGCACTGACGGTTGGGTGCAGTTGCCACGCATGGGTACTTTAATGGCATTCATACCTCTCCTCCAGCATTGTCGCATCTGTACGTTGTAGCATAGGTGAACGTATGACACGCAGGTTTGTGTGGTTTGCGGTGCGCTGGTGAAATGAAGATGGGAAGAGGGGCAGCAGCTAGTGGTGGATGTTACGATGTCACAGGCCGCTACTTACTCTGCAGCCGCACCGGCAGACCCGCGTCTTCCCCCAGTCTTATCATCTGCGCAGCTATCTCGTCGTTTCTGTCTTGTAGCTCGCTACCTCATGGAGTCGCCAGCACCTGGGGCTGCAGCGCACGACGTGCAGCCAGTTCCCTCATCTTCCCGGCTTGAGGCTCCCCATGAGGGGCTTCTATACGGACGTCTCTCCTTTGCCGCAACGGGTAACGCAGCAAAGGCTTTGCTCAGCCACCCACAGCCTGAAGTGGCGCAGCGCTACATTAAGCAACTCTGTGACCTTGCCTGCTCAAGGCTGCAGATGGTACGTTGGAAGTGTCTAACGAGCTGCTTGCTTCCCTGCAGGGCAGTTCTGCACACGATGGAGCAAATGATAATATAGACGAAACTTGCGTTGTATATATTGTATGGATGGGGAAGACGGGCTGCATGCAAAAGGGCAGAAAATCGGGTCGTCACGCAAGTGCCCACATATTGCGGGGCTATGCCTTGGTTATCATGGAAGTGCCCGCCTGTTGTGATGCGGTGTGCAGCCTGAGATCCCGGCAGAAGCAGGCGATTCTGGGACAGCTCGTAGCGTTGATCTCGAGCGGCAAGTAGCGAAGTCTCTTTCGCGGCTGTTGCAGTCCCTAGTGGCCCTTGGCGCAGATGTCCCACAAGCGCTGTTGCAGTAAGGGCTGCTCTTCTCTTCTTCTTTTAGGACAGTTGCCCTTCACTTTTGCTTTCTTTACTATGATCAAAATATTGACCTCTGGAGTTTTGTCCTCAGGTGGATAATTCGCGTGCTGCAGCTGCTGTGTGTCGCAGACAGCTAACGCCCAGAGTGCGGTGGCTAGAGGGACGGGACGTCTTGGTTGTCCTTCGGCTCCTTCCCACGTCAGCTGAAGCATCCATGCGTCAACATATCGCCTGCGCCGTGGATCTGCGTTTCCGGGAACTGAAGAGCTGGAGGATGTTGAGCGAGCTGCGAGTTAGGCTCTGGCTTGGGTCCCTCAAGCCCATTATTTTATGGGAATGCATGGGCATTTGGCCTCGTCGCTAGCGTTGCTTTGCGTACAGTTCCCATCTTGCAACGACCGCCTGTTAGGAAGAATGGGGCCACTACCCCTGGAAGCGGAAATATTTAGGCACCGGGCTTCTACTAGGTAGAAAAATAAATGAGTTGTGCCATACAGTGCTACTCTGTGTGGTGCATTCCTGCGGGTTTCTTTCCTGCGCAGAACCTCTGCACTAATCTGAAGCTAGGTGTGGACGATGACGTTGCCGAGCTTGAAATAGATGTCTCGCGGTACCAGGCGACAGACGACGGCGAGGTACATATTCCTTTAGGCAGCAGAAGCGCAGGCGTGTAGCCTTCTTCCAGCGGAGTTAAAGGATTTCCGAGTTGTTGTTTTTGTCCTTGGAATGTATTTTGGCCACAGGAAGATATTCCAACAATAGCCGATGCCATCGGCGACCCGGAAAAGGACCAGCTGTCTGCGGAATGCATGGATCCCTCCCATGAGAAACCAAAAACATCTACGTAGGAATGCCTAATATCTTGAGGAAGTGGGGAGGCGTATGACACACTGCCAATTCGGGTCTTTTAGTTACACGAGATTACTCTTAGACAGTTTTCATCACGCAGCGTCGTAGTCAAATGTGTTCACTAGTAGATATTAATCCCTGTACACCGGAACAACGGAACAACGTAGCATGCCATTCAATGCAGCTGGGAGTTTCAGAGGTACAGTTCAAATGATTTCACAGTGAATGCTTCCACGACTGTGGTGGTACTGGGATACACACAACTGAATGGCAACCCACCATGGACAATTGCTTATTGCAGCCAGCAACGAAGAACCGGAGAAACTGACTGACCGCAATTTTTGCACGATGAAGTGTTAATCTTGATTTTCCTATTCAGGTAGGTCTAGACTCATGTGCGGCGGTGTTTTCCTCAAATGAGATAAAATATGCAAAAAGGATGTACTTCCTCTAGTCACCAAAGTAAAGGCGTCACGACGTTGCTTGGTATTCATTTGAACCACTGGATAACTGTTCTACTCTATGGATTTTGCTCAAGAGGGGGCAGGTTCTGCCTGGTGTATGAATATCCTTGTCACGGCTCTCCGTCCAAAAGCACAGTAAGCACAAACCTTCGGATGAACAACATAGTCAGGGTTATGTCGCGCAGAGTGACCTAGCGTATCATGTTGCTGCACCAGATTCTCTATTCGCTGCAATTGGAGACGCCCATAGAAGGTTGGTTTACAAGAGACTAGCTTTCTGTATCCCGCAGACCACCAAGCGACAATGAAGCGATTGACGGTGTTTTGTTCAAATCAACCACTCTACTCTGCCTTTTTTTTGTAAACTTCCAACGTGGCCCTATGCCATACCATCGCCTGGGTTCCAGGAAGGAGATGAGTTACCTTCTTCCCACGGCTCCAAGCACGCCACACAGCGGGAGTGCAGTGCATGCAGTTTTTACCGTTCAACGTCGTGCAAAGGCAATACTGTAGAAACAATGGGAATCATCACGAGGACAGTGGAGTGAACATTCCGTAGACGCTTCACTTCTGGATTGGTTCATTTTGCACATTTCCTCCTCCTGTAATGCATAGAGTTTGTCCGCTCTTGCGGGTAGCTCCGGTTCCCTTGCAAGGCTACACACTTCACCTTTTTCTGTGCCAACTACATATCCACTACCATCGTCTTCCTTCTCCTCCTTGGGAAGTGATCGGCGCTTGGCTCGTTTGTCTGGTGCCGCCACACGCAGCCCCTGGATGTAGATGAGCTCTTACTAGGCCTTCTGTATGCAGCCTGCATTCAAGTGGAAATACACTTCCGTACTTCAGAGGGACCCTGCTGCGCCTGACCCTTTGGATTGCTGTCCGACGACGCCTGCAGACTGGTTCGGGTGTTCAGCTGTGTTGTGGGGAACTCGTATCGTGAATTATTTGACTTGATTGCAGCTCGGACAGAGACCGACGAGCTGCGTTATACGCTCAAAAAAACAACTGGATAACTGCCAGTTGAAAAATGTGGCTATTCATGATGGGTGTGTACAACCAAATGACCAAGCACAAGCTCACACCAACATGCGGCCGACACTGTTCCCCTTCAGCGGCAAGAGGTTGCGCAAAAGGGGTCGCTGTATTTGCCGACTTTTGGTCCATGATATAGGACAAAAGTAATCCCAAATACTAAGGAAGCATTTGCGAATTTCATATCTGAAGAAGGCGCCTACGTGGGATTTGGTAGCCCAGGTGTAGTGAACGGCTCACCCAGGGCTTTACTACGTGTTGCCCTATAACGCACCTGCTTAGGTGCAGAGTCAATATATATCACCGAACTCAGCGATTCACCTCTGAAACAGACTAAATATTCAAATAACAAGCCTTAAACCCAAGGCCCGTTCAAATGTGTACAAAAAGGGAGAGTCCAAAGAGAACTGACTGTTGTGTCTGTCCCCCCAGAGGTCAGAGCCTCTGCGGCCCAGCCAGCTCCAAACCCTGAGGGCCGTGAGCTCTCGTGACCCAGTTCGCCACAATTCTTGTCCAAACGATCTCTATTAATTACTATTATTGCATTATATTGTGCTCTTCTCCGAAGCTGGCCGCTAGGGGCTCAGCGGGGAGCCTACTGTAGTGCTCGGGCACTACACTGGTCCACTGCGAGCATGGAGACCACTGGATCCTACTTGAGTGCGCAAGGCTAGAGGGCTGGAGTTACAGGAAGAACCACCCCCATATCTGCATTGAAAGGTTTAAGGTATGTGCAAGCTCCTTTATAAAACGCAATAACACGCCCATCTGACCTGAGAAATGAGCTGGTTCACGCCACTGTGCGCTCGCATCCTGGCACTTGCAGTGGAGGCGGCTGAGGGGGCTGAAGCACCGGACGCTCCTGTTTCCAGCTCTCCGGTCACTTTCCCACACAAGTGAGCCCTCACATTGGGTCAGCGTGCCTCTTGAGAGAGACAGAGAGGGGCAGGCAGTGGGTTGCCGCCCTTGGCTGCTGCCCTCCTTTTTGCCATAGTTGTCTGTCGTTTTATCCCCTTCAATGTTTCAAGTCCCTACACTCCACAAAAAGCAAATAATCTATAAAGTGAATAAATGGAAGCTTGCCAAAGGCGGTCCAGATCCGTGAGACGTAGCTGATTGGCCACAGAACGAGGGCATTTACGTCGCGAAGGTGCCAACACCACCAAAACCTATACACACGAGGGTCTAGTGCATGATTGCGGGTTGGTGGGTAACGGAGATTGCCTAAGAGAACACAGGAACTACACCTTATTGCGTGGGGCAGTGGCTACAAACGGATTCCCCCACTTGAGCACGATTTGCTGAAGGCACCTCCGTTACTTAATAGTTCCTATGCAAGGGGGCTGAGACCTGCCCAATGCAGGTAACTTCACAAAAGAAGATTCTTTCCTCACGCTGGCTTTGTCTGAAAAGGGAACTAATTCTACGTCTCGACTCATCAGACCGTTGTACGTGCACTAGGTTAATTGGGGAACGAAAAGTCACCGCTAGGTCACCGCTTGAGTTAAGGTCCATTCGATTACATGATACTGCATTAGAAATTCAAATATCAACAACTTAGCATCTATCGAATGGGTAGGCAAATTAAAAATTGAGCTGCAACAGGGCTTACAGAACTTACAGGGAATTTGAGAACGTTTTCGTGGCATGAAGTAACCTCCCTGAGTGTGTTCCATATCGACACCTGCTTGCAGCTGGTGGAAACTGCGGTAGCGGGATACTGTTGGACCACTATCTTGAATGCTCAGTAAGTTGCGCTGGTGGGCGCAAGCATGGTACCGTGTGGTTGCCTCCTTCAGCGGGAGGGCGGTGATATTTTGGCACCTGGAGCACGATGCCTAGTAAGCGACTGTGAGATGGTGTTATGGCGTGCTGTATCGTGAGATGGGTACTCCAAAAAGGGTAAACTATCCTCAAGAAATCAAGGGTCTACAGTTGTACGTCTGGCTTCGTTTCGCTGCTGCCTGTTCCGTGATTACGCTTATGCTACGCCGAAGAAAGGATGCGCTAACAAAGTTAGAGTTCCAACGCGTTCGGTACTTTTTCGCGTGGATGCACGAAGCTTTAGGCCTTCGTATGCTTAAAAAGTCCATTCTTCGGAATTCGCCCTTCGCAGTGAGGCAGATGATTGAGGCGCCGGTACTGACTTGGAAGCGAATATCGCTTCAGACCAGTCAGCTTTCCTCACGCCTGTAGGTCGTCTCTTTCACACATTTTTTGACTGTTGAATTCGAATATGCTCGTGTAGAGGTGGGCGTTTGTCTTTTAAGCTGTCTTTCTAGCATTAGCCCTGAATTGAGACCATTCAAAACTCCTTGCACTCCTACACTAGGGCGCGTGAGTAAGTGGCAATACCATTCATGTGCAGCGGGTGGCATGTTTAATTTGGGGAGTTTGCCTGTGGTTCTCCGAACAGGCGGAGCCTTCGCAACCAATTGCTGAATTTTGCTTGGAGTTCTTGAAACGAGCGAAGCCAACGCAGCCGAGTTGTCTGGTTCTTCTCGAGCGTTAGAACTCCCTGCACAGGTGCGATGGCGGCATTTCCCCTTGATGCGCACTAGGAAGACACGCCTTGCCTCAGCTCCCCTGATGCTTTCTCGCTCTTGAGAGGCCGCACGGGCCAATTTCATCACTCCGCCTTTTGCATGGCAAAGATTTCTGCGTACGCAGAAGCGCAGGACGCAAGTTGTTCGACTGTTTCACTAGCAGGTGATACTCAGAATAAGTTTGGCCAGTGTGCGTTGTGACATTTCGAGTTGGATCGCGTATTCGCTGTTGCATTTGATGAGGTCTTTGAGATGGGCAGTTCCAAACACGTACTCATAATCGAAAATGAAAAGAATTTTAGGACTCCCCGATTGTTTCCCCTTCTCGTTTCAATGCTGCATTTCCCCGAACGGCCCGCACTGGGATTTCACTTTGTCAGATCCGGCCGTTTGCGTCTCTCGTGCACAACAGCAGCTGCACACGATTTGCCCACAAGGACACTCTGTGTGTCCTTATGCTCCCTCCTATTTATTTATTACTGAAGTTTTCTTGGAGCGGTATCTCGTAATAATTAAAAGAACTGAACTGCCTGTTTTCGCTGAGCGCCCCTTGGCGGTGTCGGGAACAGGCCTACACTGTATAGGAATTCCACAGAGAAGCTCGCCACCATCCCCAGTATCGCATCGTATTCTATATCTCTGTTTATTGTCTAATTCATCAATTAGACATCCGTAAAAGTTCCGCTCTATGGTCCGACGCAAGGCAGTGACACCACCGTAGTGCCTGCCGCTAATATCGAGGCTCCAGCAGAGGCATGCAACATGACACCTGTGCCA